ACATCCAGAGTGCTTCATAGTACGTACGACCACCTTCATTACCTATCTGATTCTTGCAGCAACCAATGCAGTGAGTAAATCCGGGCTTGATATCATTCCCATTTTACAAAAGAAGAAAATGAGGCCCAGGGAAGGCAAGGAAGCAACTCACCCATACCTGGAATGGAAACCAAACTCCTTCATACTCCTTCCCCAGAGGCCCTCTGTACACCAGGCATCGTGATCCAGGACAATCTACTGATTTTGGCTCCTCAAAGACTGTTAACTTGCAGTATCCCCTCCCTTAAGTCAGAAATTTATGAAATACAATAAAGGGTTCTGCCCATAGGCCTTTAGAGTCCCCAAATGTCTCCTTCAGATGTGCCACAGCAAGCCTCATCTCCTTATCCTCCTCTAATTAAACCTAATTTTCTTCACTTACCAAAATAATGAACTGTTTTCATACCATTTTGTTTTCTTCTTTTATTTAAATTACAATACTGCAATGCCATTGTTTTCTATTTCTGTCATTATAAGCACCCTGCAATTTATCTGTTATAGAAAAAACAGGCTTTTATGGGCTATCTTGAGAACCTAACTTCTTTACATGACATTGGAATTGGAACTCAACCCATTTCCCATTTCGCTATAGAAATAACCAACTAACAGAAAAACTTTGGGAAGTGGAAATACATTTGCACGTTAGAAACTGCCTAAAACCCCTTCCAGGGATGCCACCCTCACCTTCACCATGCCGACGGCCTCCAGGCCCCCTGTCCCATCAGCAGCCCAGCAGAGCAGGTTGCGGATAGAGCCCAGGTCTCACCAAGCAATCTCTTCAAGGCATTTCCCAGTTGTCTGCTTTGTGCAGTAGTCCAGCAGCAGCACTGCCTGTGCCGCCACCAAGCACAGGCTGGATGCTGAGCCATACCCTACGGGCTGACTCTCCAGACCTGTTACCCAGGAAGAAGAAAAGTGGGGACTCCCCCAGAACTCCCCTTTATGGAGGAGAGGACAGTGGCCTTGAAGTGAGAGGTTCTTGACAGGACAACACTGCCATCTCCTGGCCTGGCTGGGTACAGCGTGCCTCCTTGCCCTGGGCTGAGGGCCCCAACCGTATTGATTGACAGACAGTCCTTGATCCTCGCCATCGCCCAGGTGAAGCGCTTGAGAGAATGACTCGGAAATTTTTTAGCGGAGAATTTCCTCCAGCAAATGACTACGTTTCGCCAAGAGCTTGTCATTATTTACACTTGTGTTTCCGTCTGCCATGCTCTACCTCCCTTTGCATTTCTCCTGCCCACATTCACTCTCTCTTTCCCTTCACAACATCCCCTTGATCACAATCCCTTGAAGTCACTCTTTGTTTATCTCTGTGGCTCCTTCAGCACTTTCTGGCTTTAATGATCCTTGAGTCCCTGAGAATTCTAAGTTAAAAAGCAGAGCTCCTGACGTCACGCGACAAACATCAACGCTGAGACCCTATTCCCAGGGGAAGCCACTGTCGGGAACAACCAGCTCTAAACTCTGCCACGAAAGGACCCCTCTCTGCCTTTACCACCCATCTCCCCCATATCCTGTTGATTCTTCCTCCTAAATATTTCTTTAATCTGAGCCCTTCTCCCCTATCCCACCATTTCTGCCACAGACCAAGCAAGTCATCCCCTATTGCCTATTGCAATAGCCCTAACTAGTTTGTGAATCTCCACCCTTCCCCCAAAACTTCCCTCAACACCTCCTCCCATTCTCTCTCCTGCTACCAGACTGATATTTCCAAAATACAAGCCTCACAACACATGTCCCTCCAAGGTTTACACACCTCTGAGTGTTCTCCACTGGCCAACTCTTTCCTTTTAGCAGTGGTTCTCAGTGCTGCATGCATGTCAGAATCCCCTGGGAGCTTTAAAAAGCTCAGATGCACAGGACTCAGCTGAGACCGTGGAGGCAGAGGCTCTGCAGGCAGAACAGGATCTGGATACATAACAGCTCCAGCTGATTCTGATGGACAGCGAGCGCTGAGAACCACAGGACTCGCACGGCCAGAGTCCCTGCCCACCTCTCCAGCCTGGCCCCCCACCAATCTCACCTCGCCCCACCAAGAAACCACTTTCTGCCCTCAGACATGCCACACTCCACCCTTTCTTGCCTTTGCCACCACGTTTCCTTTTCCCGAGGTGCCCTCCCTCCTTCCAGGCCTCTCGTTTCTCCCTTGGCAACTCAGATTCATCCTTCCAGACCCAACGCTCACATCACACCTGTGAAGTTTTCTCTGGCACCCCTGTTCTGCTCACCGCGTCCAGTCCATACCCCTGTTGACTCACTGTCCCCATCGCGCTACCCACTGTCATAGTTTGTCCCCACCACACTGTGGGCAGGGGCTGGGTTCTGTCCATCACTGCTTTGCTAGTGTCTTCCATGGAACAAGCAATGGCTCAGAGACCTTATCAAGTGCTTGGCTACTTCTGTCCTTGCTTCAACCCTACTGCCTGGCTTGCAGCCTGCCCCTCCAATGACAGCTTTTGTTTTCTTTGGTTTGTCTGAAGTTAAGGGTAGGAATTGTCCTTTAAGCTTCAAAACCCCAATGGCTCATAACCTGACTCTAAGAAAAGTGTTTGACCCTCTGAAAGGCAGGTATATCCAGAAACCCATTCCTGGGGCCTATACTCAGCTGCCAGAGCTGGTCACGTCAAAATGAAGTTAGGCACGGAGGTTTAGGGCTAGAATGTTCTCCTCAGGCAGTCAAATATCCTTTGAAAATGAGCCTCTCCTGACTTCCTTCTCTGGCCCCCATAGAACCCTTGAAGGTCAGCTGAACTTTTCTCTGCCCGTCCCTTTGGGGCAGCCTGGGTCCTTCAGGGCCAAGAATGTAAGACACAACTCCAGTGTCCCACCAGTTCTCTTCTTGGCCAGTACTGGAGGAACGCTGGGGTCAGTGAGCACAGGGCGTGCTGCTGCCATCACAGATGCCTCCAGAGCAAAAAGACACTCACGACAGCCCCCACACCAGAGCTACTCTGAGTGGTCACCAATCCCGCAGCAGCCACCAGCCCAGACCTCGACTGAGTCAGGAGGTCTGGGATGGAGCCCGGCCGTCTGTGCTTTACTAGGCAGATTGACCAGCCTGTGAAACTCTGGGAAGCACTGTCCATCATGCACCACCCTCAGCTCTGAATCATCCCGGGGTTTGATCCACTTTGCAAAGGAGGCTCTCCTTTTCTAAAAAGCCTGCACCCACTGGGATGAGCACAAGCCTACTGAATCACTGAGGGGAGGACCCTCCGTGCAAACAGAAGACAAGAGGACTCCGAACTGGGAAGCTGTACAGGGGGACCTTTACGATGGAGGAGGAAATTAGCTCAGGCTCCGGCCCTGACGATGCTGGATCAAGACTAAAGAAATCTGGGAGATCTCGGCAAATGACCCCTCCTGGGAGAGGCCTGCACAGTCCCCTGCCTCTACCACCAATCACTACCTCCACCTGTTAGTCCTGCTGTAGTCTTCTTCCAGGGCACTTAGCACTTCTTAAAATTGTCCATTTATGTGTTGTTTATTGTCAGTCTCCACCATCAGAATAGAAGCACAGGGCAGGAATACCATGTTTTGTTCACTTCCATAGCTCCAGTGCTTGGAGTAGAACCTGGCGCATAATAGGGCCTAGTAGATATTCGTTGGATTAATGAGTGAATGAATGATAGCACACACTCCATTAGTGCTAGGCCCGTGTCTGGCTTGCTCATCTCTGTGGGCTCACCTCCATTGCTCACCTCAGTCTCCCTAGCACCCTGCCTGGTAAGCAGCAGGCAAGCACTTAAATTCTCGTTGAATCAATGAACAAAGTGCAAGCACATTTTTTAATGATCAACCCCAACTCTGCAACTGTACTCCATTCAGACCACCCACGATCAGATCTAGCAGTGACTGTGGCATTGCTCAGAGTGTGTGTGTCGGGGGGTGGGTGGTGCTGAAAACTTTAAAGGTTGACAAAAACTGTTTCGAGAATATGACTTGGCACTCAGCCCGAGGTTAAAACCTGGCAAACCCGAGGCAGTAGCTGACTCCCCACTCCTGGAGGGGGCCTGCAGCTCTCAGAGCATTGGCCTTCCTTCCCACTCACTCACTTCTCCTGGTTCCAAATGCCATTATTTGCCATCACACGTAAGAGACCACAGCCCACCAAATTCCATTATAATGCACAAATTATTCCTTCACTTGCACTCAGGTTAAATTTAGAATTCAAGTGCACTTATGTGGGGAAAATAACACAAGGCAAATTTTTTAAAAATCAAGCGGTTTATTATTTTCTTTTCTCCTTGAATAGGAATTTAAGTTACTTCAGTGGGCACTGACTTCACTACAGAAAAACCTTCTAAAGTGATGGGAAGATAAGCAGAAAGGATCTGACCTTGCTGAGTGTCCATTCAAACAAACAGTAAGCCCCCAGTGCCGAGCGCTTGCAGAAAAGCCAGGGGTCCAACCACGTGGGGGCCGGGGAAAGGAGGGAGGCTTAGGACTTCACACCATGAAAGGGAGTCACAAGAAGAGGCTTTAGGAGGAACCAATTATCAAGAGAGTCAAATTATTTAAAGTTGAAATGAGTGAGAATTTATTCACAACATATGCAGATCTATGAAAGTGATTATGCAAATAGCTGGAAAGGGGGCACTTAAAAATAGCGGTAACATGGAAGCTTTGGTCTCCAGCAGGCTGGATACTAGTCAGAACTCAGCTAAATGTGGATCCACCTTGGTCCCTTTGGGTTCCCTTTATCCTTCCTCATAACACCAGCAATTTTTTAAAAGGGGAAGATCTACACCTTTTTCGTCAAAACCCAGTGGTAATGGAGGTAATGAGCATCAGGCCACCTCGGCACCTTGGTCATTGAAGAGAACCCCTCTTTGGTGCTTCTTTCTAGAGACATTTGTATTAGCAGAGCTTTAAATATATACATACCAACTCCCAGAGATTTCCAGTTGGTGAGGTGCTAGATGATTCTTTTGTTTGTTTGTTTGTTTGTTTGTTTGTTTTGCCCTAATCCTTGTATTTGTTGCTGAAGGTAGGCTGAAAAACCTTGCAGTTCCAGTGCTGTCTTTCCCACACAACTGTGCAACTACTATTGTGTTGATTTTCAGGCCCCCCAATATAATGGGCAAAAATGCAGGGGACAGAAAGTAACCTCTCTGGTTTGAAGCTTGGTGACACGTTTTGTCCTGCAGGTTATCCAGCCATTTCAGAAACTAGAGGTCCTGAGCATCCTTCAAATGTCCATTAGCCAGTCACCACTACCCACCCCACCCCAAGCTTTCGCAGCCCCAACCCGGGACTGGTCTTGTCTCGTGTGACAGTCTCTCACATGGGCCATCAGAATGTTCTCGTCTTTCCTCCTAGTGTCCGCTTCTTTCTGTTCAGGACATGCTCCCCGCTGTAGCCATGAGGGCGGATTTTCAACTCCACATAAGGAATGGAGAATTCATGTCCTTTCCACGGCTCCCAGTTCACCCCCTACATAAGAAAAGCTAACATCAAGAAAAGGCACCTGGGAGGAGGGTGGGGTGGGTTTGGCACAAAGGAATGCTTCTTTGCCAGTGAAACCACTCCCTGTCTGCTTAGGGGAGAGAAAAAAAGACAAGTGGTGACCGGGGTAGTAATTAGTAATGATAAGGGAATTGAGGGCTGACTCTAGAAACATGCGCCCTCTGCTGGTCAGCAGGGGTTAGACAGGCTGATGAGGACTTGGAAGCCCCCTATGGTTTGGAGGATGGGGATGCTAGCCTGGCTGAGGCCAGGGCAGCAGAGAAGATAACACAGGGTCAGCCTGGCCAGCAATGATCACATTATCTTTGCCTCACTCTTTTCCTTTCCAAAAAGTTAAAGGCAAAAATAAACATATTAATTGGCCAATTGTGTAAAATCATTTTCAATTTAGACTGCTTAGATATTAGCTCTGGGGTAACAAATAGCCTGCTGAAAACTAAATTTCATTTTATGTCTTTTGACTGGTGAGCACAAGAATATTTAATTCACTTAATAACCTTGCAACCTGGCCAATAAAGAGCCCAAGTGACCAATTTTATGTATTTCAATTTGTGAGGTAAATAATAAACAAGAAGCTAAATGCCTTGCAGACTGTGAAAAGCACATTAACCAGATGAATGTCTTTTATTAGCAAATATGGGGATCGTTTAGGGCACGCTGGCTGCTCATTTCAAATATTTGATCTCTGATAGCAGGCTTCCCCGAGTCAGCCCCCATGCTGCCACCGTGATTCATGGGCCCACCCTCCCTGGCTTCCCTGCGGGCAAATTTCTTCTTCCCTTTGAAAAATCACTTAAGGATTAGGAGCCCCCGCTGCCCAGTAAGGACCAAAGTAATCAAAATGTACCTGGACTTTAGATGTGCTAATATTTACAGTAATATTGGTAGGAGGTGAGTTCTGTGGAGAGATGGCTTCCTGAAGGCAAGGATCAGGACCCAGGATGAGAAATTAGAAACCCAGGATGGCAACTCTGAGAGTTCACGGAGGGGATGGATTAATGATGAGTAGGAACAAAGATGCAATTTTCAAGAAGCTATGAGAGAGCAGGCAGGAGATGCCTGGTAGCTAGCAAGGAGTCAAGATGATATTCATGGGTCATTGAGGTTCAAGAAATCACTGGAGGGAAAGTTTCAGAGCAAGGGAGGGGTGAGGAGCCCTTGGGAACTCTTAGCCCCATGTGCACACTCTTGAAATGGCGAGACAGGTTTAGCACAATGCTCTGGGCAGACTTTGGGTGGCTTTGGATGAAGTGGATCCAAGGATGGGTCTGACCTAAAGCAGAAAAGAATCTGTTTTCCTGGTGATCAAAGGACTTGAGAGAAGTCACTTTGGTTTAACTGGGAGAACAACTAGAAAGAATTATGAAGTATCTGTTATGGATGGAATGTTCTCGTCCCCCTAAAATGCACATGTTGAAGCCTTGACCCTCAATATGATAGCATTTGGAGGAGGGCCCTAGGGAGGTAATGAGGGTTAGATGAAATCATGAGGCTACAGCCACCATGATGAGATTAGTGCCCTTATAAGAAAAGGAAGAGAGACCAGAACTCTCTCCACAACGTGAGGACACAGTGAAAAGGTGGCCGTCTACAAGCCAGAGAGAGCTCTCACCAGTAACGAAATCTGCTAGTACCTTGGTCTAGGACTTCCTAGCCTCCAGAACTGTGAGTAATAAATGTCTGTTGTTAAGCCACCCAGTGTACAGCATTTTGTTATAGCAGCCCAAGCTGACTAAGACAGGGTTCGTGTGTGAACTAGGAAAGCGAGATGGTGTGTGACCCACATCATCTGTCTCTACTCAGCAGGGGGCAGTCTGAGCTCCCACCCACCTGCACTAAGTAAGTGAGCAGCACTGGTGGGAATGTGGAGTGGGGAGGAGTCTCAGCAAACAGACAGGGAGGGCCTTGACCTTGAGGCCTGGAAGCCTGGAGAAGCTCTACTGCCCTGACTGGAAGCATCAGAAGGAGAGGGGCAGCCAAACCAACCACGAGGGTGTCCCTTTTGGGAACTGAATGTGGGCAGAGCCTGGGGCAAAAAAGATGTTTGTTTGCCTGTCACCTACCTCACTGTGCTTGGTCTCCCCATATCTGCCATTTGGGTTGGCCAAGTGGCAGTTCTTGTACCACCAGCCACCATGATGCGTCAGGGCACAGTTGCTGAGGGCGATATCATTGTCTCTGTCAAAAGTCGTAAACTTCCATCCGTTGTGGTAAGAAAGAGCGTCCCCTGCAGGAGAGAAGAGATGAAAGGTGAGAGCCAAGTTTCATCACTGATCATACTCTGGCCCGAGAGGAAAATCTCCAGGCATGAAAATGCCAAGGATCCAGTCAGTTATGTCACAGGTAGTCACTCCTCTCTCAAAATGGCCAAGAGGAGAACATGATACAGAAGAACAGATTCTCTTTCCTGGCCTGTCACCCAAACTTCAGGCCTGTTTCTCCAAGAGCCTTAATGGCATTTTCACTTAGAAGTTTTACAGTCATGTGAAATATCCAAATATCCAAAACCAAACTCATCGACTCTCCCCATAGAACCTGACCACCCATTACACACAGCTAACCCCTCTCCCGACCTCCTTCACCCTCTCTGATCCACCATCCTCCCGGCCCCCTAGACTTGAAACCCCTGAGCCAAGTTTAACAATCCTATTGTACCCCTTTATCAAACCCTTCCTTCTGCAGGTCACTCATATACCCCGCTGCTCCCACGGCTGCCACCCTAAGCCTGTTCTCATCCCTTGGGCCTTCCTAGCCCTTCTGAAGCTTAAACATCCATTTTCATCATCTCAGGCCTAACATCCTACTTCCCACCACATGGAGGTGAATTACTCCTTCTTGCTTTGCAGGTCTGTAACTTGGCTGTTCCCTTTGCACAACCTCATAGCCCACTATCCCCACAGGCACCCTCCACTTGTAGAGTGGATGGGTCCACCTTTCATGCATCTGCTCACCGATTTTTCTCTGCCCTGCATCAGTCCAGATCCTAACCATTCCTCAAAGCCCAGCTGGGCCCCACTCCTGAGGAAGAGTCTCCTTATTAATCCTCCTACATACCCTCCTAACACACACACCTGAACTTCTAGAGCACTTCTAGGCACGTATATATAATTTAGTGCTTCATTACATCCTGTCTGAAAATCTGCTGTAATTATTTCTCCTATTTCCCCATCATATTCGTCAACCCTTTATAAGTTTACTTTTTAATTCAGCTCATAAAAGGCAATAAAGGCCCACATCAATCACAAGCTTAATCAAGTTCTGTTCCTACAATAACAGTGCTTATATTTACATCTGATCTCTGAGTTTACCAATCATCTTCACATATATATTCTCATCTGACCCCACAACAAGCCTGCGGGGTGGGTCGGGCAGCTCTCAGTCCCACGAGGAAACAAACTCACAGACTCATAGACTCTAGGGATCTGTCAAGGTCCCACAGTCCACAAACAGGAGAGCCAGGACTCAAATCTCAGTCCTTTAGATTCCATGTCCTGGGTTCTTTCTGAGACACCGATTCGCCTGTGGCTCCCTTATTTCAACAGAGGGCTTCAACTATGCTGGCAAGAGCGAGCTGTGTCTAGCAGTCTGCAACAATGATTCTCGAAGAGCGGCCCCCGGACCAGCAGCATCAGCATCACCTGGGAAGTTGGTATAAACACACTCTCAGGCCCCACCCCAGACCTGCAGAACCAGAAACTCCGGGGTAGCACTCTGCAATCTGTGCTTTAACAAGCCCTTCAGAGGACAACAAGCCCTTCTGATGCAAGCCGAAGTTTGGGAACTTTTGTTCTGCAACGTCATTTATTCAGGAGACGGCAGGAACACCTGCTACATTACGGCCTAGCACCATGCCAGGCTCTGGGAATGCAAATGGAGGAAGTCCTTGCTCCCAAGAACTTAGCTAGAGTTGGGGGGAGGGGGGGGCTACGTGGCGCAAGCGGTTAAGTGCGCACGCTCCCCTGCGGCGGCCCAGGGTTTGCCAGTTCGGATCCCGGGGGCACACCAACACACCGCTTGGCACGCCACGCTGTGGCGGCGTCCCATATAAAGTAGAGGAAGATGGGCATGAATGTTAGGCCAGGGCCACGCTGGCCCCTTTTTTTTCCTCAGCAAAAAAAGAGGAGGATTGGCAGATGTTAGCTCAGGGCCGATCTTCCTCAAAAAAAAAAAAAAAAAAAAAAGAACTTAGCTGGGGGGGGGATTGTTGTTGTTAGTGCCATTGAGTCGATTCCCACTCCTAGGGACCCTGTGTACAGCAGAGCAGACCCCTGCTTGGTCTCTTTGTGCCATCCTCTCCCCTTCCGGTGCTGCATCAGACAATGCTCCGCTGCTGTTCACAGGGTTTATTCATAGTTGGGGGTGGTAGGGGGCAGATATATAAAGAGTTGACACACATTGTGTAAGGGGAAGGTCCCAGTTTGTCCCTCTGACCTGGGAGCTCAAACAGCGACTCCTCTATGCCTCACCCAGCAAAAGCAGGGGCAGCGAGAACGGAGTGATAAAGGCCTTTCCTCTCAGGCACAGCAAAACCACTCTGCCCCCATCAGTTCTCTCCCATCAAAGAAAGGCAGACTGTCACCTTACTCACACACATTTCCTCCTCCCTTCAGAGTTCTTACAGATCATTAACTACAGCTTAAAATAACATGGCAATGGCTCCCTGAATAACGTTCTCTCAATGAGCACAGCTTTCCTAACCTGCATATCAAGTTACCAGCACGGTTTCCTAAGAATCTCTGCAGAGGCTGTTTCTTAAAGATTTGTTTGTGGTTATCTAACCTTGGGCACTGGGATGAAGAGCGAGGAAGCAGGTTTTGGCCTGAGCGTGGGAGGTTTTTTCCCCCGCAGATGGATTTTCTACCTTCTAGAAACTGAAGCCATACTGATGTTCTGGATAGAGATAGTGAGTAAACACATAAATCAAAAGGTAACTTTTCTCTGGTCAAAGGTGAGACAGTTTTCTGATTTATTAAGCTTATCTCCCTAAGTAAGATAAAGTAGAAAAGCCAATGGTGGTTAGACTCCCTCCATTCTATTGGTGTTTTAGGAAAAAACCCAGATGAAAGATAAGCACCTCACTTCTACTCTAATGGCTTTGGGTGGGAAGCTGGTTCTTCTCAAGGAGCGCATGGGAGGGGTTGGTGGCAGACCCATAAAATGTCTGAACCCAAGCCCAGGGTGGGGCCACTGAGCTGGTCATCACCCATCTCATCAAAATGTCACTTTGACACTAACTCTCCTCCTCCAGCACTTCCTGAGACAGGAAAGATGACCCAGGCTGCTCAGCCATCTCAGCCCAGAAGCCGTCACTAACATCATATCCCCTATAAGTCACACAGGCACAGGACCGTGTGTCTGAACCTTGAACATCTTCTCTCCTGGGACCAGGAATGGGCCAGTGAAAGAGTGATTTGTGCCATCTCTAGTTTTCCCTTTTGTCCATGTACCCAACAATTACTTCTCTCCTTTTTTTTTTTTTTTTTTGTGAGGAGATCAGCCCTGTGCTAACATCCGCCAATCCTCCTCTTTTTTTGCTGAGGAAGACGGCCCTGGGCTAACATCTGTGCCCATCTTCCTCCACTTTATATGGGACGCCGCCACAGCATGGCTTGCCAGCAGTGCGTCGGTGCGCGCCCGGGATCCGAACCAGCGAACCCCGGGCCGCCGCAGCGGAGCGCGCGCACTTAACCGCTTGCGCCACCGGGCCGGCCCCTCTTCTCTCCTTTTTTTAAGTGTCAGTATTTAAAAACCTACTCAAAGCAAGGAGGGCACTGGCATTTGGGGTAGAACAATTCTTCACTGTGGGTATTGGCCTCGCTGGCCCCAGCCCACAAAATGCTGGTGGAGTTCTTCAGTCACATTGCCAAGTGCCCCCCAGGGTGGACCCATCCCTGGTTGAGCAGTGCTGAGTCTCCTGCAGGTGGGACTTGAAATTAGCTGTAAATGACGGGTCAGCCCATACAAGTCATTCTGCACCATTCCCAACATCTATCTATTTCTGTTTTCATTATAATCTCTAAAGAGATGAATAGCATCTTGAAGGTAGAGCTCATAAAATGTCCTTCCTGCCCTTCTCCAAGATTCAGAATAGAAACTAAATTTACACAGCACTACCTGGCTGGAGTTTCCTTCATGGAGACATAACGGGCTTTCTGATAGGACTTCAATGGAAGCAAAAGTTGAAGGCCCACGTGGATGGTCTGAGTAGGGGACAAGTCTTAAACCTCACATTTCCACCAGAGCTGCAGATCTCTAGTTCTAATCAGAGCTACAATGGAATTAAAAGCTGGGGAGAGCTGGCATGTGCACAGAGATATCAAAATGTTCACCTTCTGTTTGAACACCGTGACCTTTAAACAGAAATGCATCATTTAGGACATGAGTAGCCAGAAGCTTCCAAAATTTCAAAACCCTCCTCAGGGACCAATCAGCATATATAAGAAAAGCTAAAACTCCACAAACCATACCAGTGTAACTGAGAATTTCAAAGGAAGAATGCTAGTACACATGGGAAGACTAGACCACTGCCTAAGTGCTGCGAGATTTGAAAGTCTCTCAAGGCTTCCTATTAAAAAATACCTCCCCACTGTTGGCCTGAACAGAATTATCCGCTAATCACAGTTAAAATGCCAATAGAGTACCTGGGAGGAGAATCTCATTAATTCACGAATATATTGACTCCCTTTCACTCATTTTCCCATTAGGATCAGTTCATTTACTGGATTATTTTAAGACAAGCCTCAGAAAAGGTACATTTGAACGGTAGAGGAAAGGGGAATGGGCAGCCTGGGAGGGCGGGCCTGAGTGAGGTCCCCACCCCACCCAGAAGGCTGGTGAGGGCACTGGGTTTTAGGGAGAGATGTGGGACACAGGTGCCAAAAGGAAAGCTCCCAACTCCATATCTTGTCTGGGGAAGGCCCCATGAATGGAGTCTCTGAAGACCAGGACTCTTTAGCCTGAGAAAGGAAGGCTGACTGATCACCATGGTCAGTAGTGAACGGAGTACTGGAAAGAAAAGGGATGACCGTATAGTCTCCACGTGGACTGAGACCAGAGCCAGAGGAGGCCCGAAGGGTCTAAGCGAGACTGCAATGTGCACACCCCTTAACCCAAGGGTTGGGGGATCCTAAAATCAGCTGTCTGGACTATAGTCTGATCTTGGGGCAGGGTGGAGGTAGGCAAAGTGCTTAGTCCTACAAAACGGAGTCTTTAAATCCCCCTCATCCAGTTAATATCCTTATAACCGTACAAATGTCCATCTGTGTTTCTCAATTATATTTAACTGCCTTACATCTATGCCTGACTTTCACGCTTTTTATTAACCTGTGAGTGGATGTAGTACAGTACACTGTACGTCTAGAACAGTCTATAAAGTATAAAAGGGTTGCCCAGTCTGTTTCCAGCCTACGGAGACCCAGACACTAAGGGAAGAAGTGACAGTCCCCAGCAGTGCAGGCCTTTGTAGCTGCAGAGTCTTTTCTTTTTCAAGGATGGTTTTTCCCTGAAACAATTCTTTGCACACTTTTCCCCACCCAGCCCTGACTCGGAAACCTTGAACAGTTCTCCCGTGTCTGCTGCCCAAGCTCCTCACACTCTAGTGGGTGCCTACTCCTCCCACTTTGTCTCCTGCCGTGCCACCATGTCCCCAAACTCACCCCTTCACTGACCCCTATGGAAGCTATTTGGATCTCAGGGACTGTTCTTTACAATATAAAACATCCAGCAGATTATATAGAAAGCATAGGAATAGCAATATCATAGGCATAGCAATATCATATTTTAAACTCACCTACTCTGTGCCAGGCTCCGTGCTAAGCACTGGGCAACAAGAACAATGCAAAATTCATGTGATTTCCTAAAAATTAAATTATAGGACCTGAAAAAATGTAGCATTAGCAGTTGGCCACTTCAGGTCATGGTGTCTGTTCACAACCTTCTGCCATTGGGGGTCCTTGAGCAGAAAATTTTGAGAAGGCCTGCAAGGCTTCAGGAGTATACTCCAATTTCCTTGCCTTGGTTCAATCCTTGCTCCCCCACTAGACTCCCCCAGGCCTGGGGAGTCTTCCTTTCCTTTCCTCTAATCTAAGTTCTACCCTCTCAGACCCAACTCCAGCCCACATCCTGCAGGAAGCTTCCTTTAATCACCTCAGTCCTCAACGTGCCCACCTTCTCCATACTCCTGTCACTCTTTATTCTCCTGCAAATACCTTATATCATTCATTATTTATCTATTCACACGTGACTCCAAGGGGAGAGACTATGTCTTATGCTGTCGGTCAATTTGGCTGGTAACATGTTCCTACATAGGTACACCAAAGACAAAATCATGCAAAGTCAAACAGCAGACTTGTTAGGGTTTTAAAAGCTATAAATATAGGTGTAAAATACAATAGTAAAACAATAACCACCCTTCCCCTCTTAAATATTCAATGGTATAATCCCAGCATTTCCATCATGTTGCTTAATTTTGTTCTTTTCCTTCACAACTGAACACACAATTAACTGGCTTAAATCCAATGAGCAGCTAATCAAGACTAAAGATTCCCCGCTCCCTGCTGAACTGGTAATTTCTGTGTCGTAACAGTTGTATGAAGTTAATGAGACCAAACTTATTGTTTGAATCAGCACTTTCATTTTTCTGTCTTTATTTATGGCAAAGTACCACAAAATATTTAAATAATAACACACACTGCTGTGCAAGGATGGCAGCCACACTGCTGAAGCCGAATGAAAGGCAGGCAGGCACCATGAAGCCCCACAGAAGGTGGGTTTCTCAGCTAATATACAACAGCCTGAATTTGGAGAGTATAAGAAGAGGGTTTTTACTGGCAGGAGGACCAATGTATAATGTACAAAAGTTCCAATTTTATGATGGTCAGTGATTGCTTGAATGACTCTGTTTACCCCCAACCCCCTGCAGGGAGCAGGGCCTCAATTGTCAATGAGGACAATTCACCCTTGCAGAACAACATTCCATCCCCCAGATCCATGGCACGTGGCAAACCAATGCTTAGACACCCAGAGAGCAAGAGACCCCAGCCATAAGGAAATATTATTTCTCACCCGCTGTGCCTCTGTATTTCCCAACTGTGAGCTTGTACCGTTCCTTGCTGGAGGCCACTTGGAAGAAATCATATATGGCATAGGCGGACTCATTGGCAGTCTGTAGGTCCACTCTCACCTCATACCGGGTAGGAGTGCCAGTGGTGAGATTGTGTAGCTTGTCAAGTCCTAAAAAGAAGGATGGAATTCTAATAACCAATCAGCCAACATGTGCAAGCACTCACCATTGGCATCTGAGACTTTCAGCACCAAAAGTCACCTTAGCCTTTACCTCCTCTGGGAATGGGAGCCTTCTCCACAGTTTCTCTTTTGGAAGTTCATTTTCTCATCCTATTATTTCTTTGGCACAGTCACGCTAATGAGTGTGGAAACCATGTCCTCTGGGAGGTAGCAGTGCAGGGTAGTCATGGGTTGAACCTGCCGCCATTGACTCCATCTCTCTAAAGCTTTAGCAGTTTTCTTTATTAAGGTCTCTGAAGGGATTTTGAACCAAGCAAACCACAAACATCTACCTACTCTATCTATTATGATTTTTTAATTCTTCATTTCCCAATTGATGCTTTTGGCTATTTCACTATGAACATCTGCTCCAGAATAGAGCAGAAGGAAAAGGGAAAAAATGATGCCCATAATGACTGGCATGACTAGCAGAATTCCAGGGACCACTAGCAGAACCTCTCAATAATAGCCCATTATTCCCATCAATCAACTATTTTTCTTCTCCTGTAGTTTCTAAAAAAGATCAGCCTCCAGGCAGATCCCGTGGGCTTGGATACAGCATAAAGACCACCTGTGACAGTCTTACCTTTTCACAAGCCGGGAGCACACGAGAACCTTCCCAGCAACAGGCGCCACCAAAACCCTGGTCAACAGGTTCCTCAAAGTGTCCCTGTCACTTGGACCTCTTCCCGAATGTGGCGAACTTCCTCAAGCTGCCTGACCAGCTTTTCAAGAGGGAAACCTCCCCTCCACAACCCAGCCCTCCTGGATTCTCAGAGACCATACCAAGCCAGAACTCCTTCATGGGGTCCCCAAAGCCCTCCACATAGGCCCGCCAACGCTTGAAGAAATCCAACTGCCCAGTGTTCCGCCTCTGGAAGACCTGTAAAAGGAGCAGACATTTCACTCTGATGCACTTGAATAGACATGACTGAGGGAAAGAGGACAGTAGCTTAGACTGGGGGCTGCTCTAAGAATAGACAGAAGGTAAAATTGACAGATGTGGTGATAGATTGAAAGTGCAACTGAAAGACAGGAGCAAGTCAAGAATGATTCTTGTGGTTTTGGCTTGCAGTACTGGACAGCTCTTCACTGAGAGGGGGCTTCTGAGAGAGGACAGGTTTTGTAAGTGCATCACCATTGGGGACATGGTAAGTTTGAGTCACTTCTGAGGTATCCTGGTGAACGAAGACGCCACAGGAGCAGTTGAACGTAAGGGCTAGAGTTCCAAAGAGAGATCTAGGCTAGAATTATAAAGGTGAGAGTGTTTCTGAGATGATTCCAGGTGTTCATCAAGTCCCATTTCACCTTCCTCTCCCTCAGAACACAGGAACACAGCCTTTTTCAATCTCCCTTGAAGTTAATGTGCAATAAGTCATGTGACTCATTCTAGCCAAAGGACTGTAAGTGGGAGCACAGGAGGGTGGGGGTTCTCCATGCTCTCTCTTCCATTGCCATGTGCCACAATGCCTCCATGAAAGCCACATGTTGACAGGGCAGAGCCACAGTTGGAATTAGCCTGAATCCCTGAGTCACTACTTAGAAGTGATCGCCAAACCACAGAAGACTTTGCACACGTGAGGAAAAAACTCTTAGGTGTTGAATCATTGGAATTTGGGGTTGGTTGGTTACCACGGCATAGCCCATTCTATCCTTACTAATACAGAGAGCCACTAGAACATAGAGTCAAATGAAGCCATTGCAAAGACGAGGCCATCTAGGAAGAAAATAGGAAAGTGGCCTAGAACCAAGCCTTGAGGACCCTCCAATATATAACAGCCACAGGGAGAAGGATGAGTACATTAAGGAGAGAGAGGAGCCACTAGAGATGAAGAATGACGATGAGGAAAATGTGGAATCACAAAGGCCACAAAGAGAAAGGTGTGGTCGACAGGGTCAAGTGCTGATGAGAGGTCAACATGAGGCCTAATCTGACCACAGAATTTAGTGACACAGAATCACTGCCGACTTTAGCAAAGGCTGTGTTAGTGAGAGACGAGGGCAGAAGCCAAACTGGAATGGTTGAAGAGGGAGCCAGAAGTGAGAAAATGGAAGGGCTGGCCCAGTGGCCTAGTGGTTAAATTCCCACACTCCACTTTAGAGGTCCGGGGTTCGAAGGTTTGGATCCCGGCACAGACCTACACACCGCTCATCAAGCCATGCTATCACAGCATCTCACATACATAATAGAGGAAAATGGGCACAGATGTTAGCTCAGGGCTACTCTTCCCCAAGCAAAAAGAGGAAGATTAGCAACAGATGTTAGCCCAGGGCCAATCTTCCTCACCAAAAAAAAACAACAACAAAAAAAAAAGAAATGAGAAAATGGAGACAGAGCTGGGTACCATTGCACGACAGTATGGGCTGCTTTCATTTCAAAAATTCCTCTATTTGGGGTAAATACAGTCTAAGTAAATTACATTCTTTTATATGAAGTACCCAAAAGCTAAACACACCTATATGTACTATTGGAATTGATACTACATATAAAAATTCTTCATGACCCTGAGAGCCAAGCTAAATGCCATCCTAGCTAACCGAGAAATGATCCTGGAATTCTGGAAGGCTGGAATTGCATCTTTCTCTCTACCTACTTTCCTGTATCTTCATTCAAATGCAGAAGCCCCAACACAAAATCCAATCTCCCTCCTTTCCACCATGCTTCACAGTGTGCGCCTTGAAGTAAAAGACATTATCTTGAATTTGGTAAGGTAAACCTCTTAATATTTGTGCATTCTTTACATTTTTCTCTGGGAAGAGACAGAGAGGGAGGAGAGAGCATGTTGCCTGCTCCCTCCACATGGGAGCTCGCATTTCACTCCTTCTGAAGCACCAATCCATCCATGTTTGCTGGCCCGGAAGCACTGAACTAAGGCAACAGTGGGCAAGAGAAAGCCCCGGGCTCCCAGAGTCAGACCACAGCCTCCTCAGTCATTTCTATTCCTGAGCCCAGTCAGCTCGTTGTCAAACAGGGTTAGAAGCAGGAAGGAAGTGTCTACTTCAGAGGAGGTGGGAGGACTAAATGAGATGGTACATGTAAAAATGTTCTATAACAGTAAAGAGCTGCTGAACGGAACATAGGAATGACCGCGGTAAACAATGACACACTGCATTAATATTGTTCTTCCCTTTCCCCTCTTCTCAAGATGAGAGATGTCCCATTCCTTCCATGGCTTCCTTCATTTCTTGATTCATTCATTCACTTATGTAACAACCGTTTCTTGAGCATTTGTTAAGTGCCAGCTCCAGGGCGAGCCTCTATGATGCCATTTTACAAATGTGAAAGTTCAGAAAAGAAATTAGCCAGAGTCATACAGCTAAGTATTTAGTGGCTGATGCGAGGAGAAAACACTGATATCCTTCCATCAGAAAATTTGAAAATACCAGCTCTACTGAGTCTATCTTCCAAAAAGCATTTCTTAAGACTCTGAGACTAATTGTTAGTTTCTTAGCACGGCACCTGTTCCAGTCCCTTCTCTGGGACTCTTCCTGTACTATGGACAGTGGAGTCCTAGAGTGGATGTGGCACCAATGGTCGGCTCCATGCACATCGCATCAAATTACGTTCCCACTAAGTAATTAGTTACGTTACAAGTTCAGGCTCAAATCTCATCTGCCCTCCTAGGACAGACACATTACAAAGGCATTTGGTCTCCATCTCCAATCAATCAACATAGTGCCTAAGTGAGAGAGGAGCTTTCTGGCTGATTTTTTTATTTTAACAATGTTTCAGTTTGGCTAGGGAAACTCCAAAAAATGTTTCCGATGCTCTTTGCATCTCTGTTTAGACCCAGCTCTACGCTTACTAGCTGTGTCCTTGGGCAAGTTAGTTAACCATGACAAGCCTCACTTCTCTAAAATATTAGATCAAGATTTAGTTAATAGCCTATTTGTCATGCTCTTAAATCAAGGTCATTAATCATAACAAATCATAAAGTATTGTGGCCAGAGTCTGGCACATACAGATATAATGTTATTATTATATCTCAATAAATGCTAGTTTGCATTTTATTATATCAGATTCCAAGTGAACTGACCCACAGGGATCACTTGTACATCTTGATCAGGCAGTCTTAACTGACTCATTCAGAGTCTAGTCCGTTCCCGCTCTGTGAGGTGAAAACACCTTATGATGAACTATTTGGGATAACAAAAGCCCCTTAGCAAATAAGTCTCAAGGGAAAAAAAAATCTCTTTCTGTCTGGCTCTACACTACAGAACTGTTATTGCACTCTAGAACTTACTCAATGTCCTGAATAACCAAATCAGGAGGAAAAAATGAAAATCTCCTTTAAATGCCTGTGGAAAGAGCCTCTAATGTAATCCTTAAGACTTGTAAGATGGAAAACAAAGATGGAAATATTTGAGACATTTAAGTGTTCCCTGATGGTCTCCATTCCAGCCCCCCACCCATGGCCTCAGTGCCAGACTTCTTCTGGCCTATTAATCAAACTGGTCTCCTGCTGCCTGGGATGGAGAAGAACTTCCTTAAAAGGATTTTAGAAGCTCAATTTTAAAAAGAGCAATGTACTCAAGTCATCTTTCAGTGACAAAAGACTCTTGAACCCAAAAAACATGGAAACTGTAAAAGATTTGGTGAAGTTTTCAGGACTCCACACATTTTCCAGAGGGTAGTGGCTTTGAGGAAAACCCTACAGAATCTCAGTTCATGTATACCCTCAGGAGTCTGGGTCAGAAAACAAGACCTGTGATGGGTTCAGGGACCAGGGTTGGTTAGAGTGGAGAGTGATTTCATTATTTCTGGAACTGACCTCCATGTTCTATAAGGGTCATTTGTATGGATGTAGAAGGCAAGCTCCTTGAGGGCAGGGATTTTGGTCTGTTTGGCTCACTGCTGGTTCTTGAATATATAAAACAGTGCTGGACACACAGTACGCACTCAATAAATATTTGTGGAATAAACCATGGGTATTCCCAGCCAGACAGACTGGCAGGTCTCTTTCCAAAGATTGCTCTAGACAAACACTTCCTTTCCTATACGAAGTTGGCTTTCAAAAAGGCCAAACTAGACAGTACAAAGATCCTGCCAATGGTCAATTATGGGCACAAAGGCAGGGAACTGGCTTCAAGCCTGAAGAGACGGGATGCTTAGAGTTACAATGGTGCTGATGAAAAGCAGCAGGTACAGCCCTATGGGTCTGGTCAGGTGGAAGACCTCCCATGTTACATTCTATTCTGTTATTTTCATAAATCAATCCAGAATATCCCACATCCAATCCAATTACTGCCTTTCAGCCATCAGATGCAGCTGTGCAAATAATAAGTTTTCTTCACTGCTGCTGATCAGACGGTATCATTTTATCCGTGGCTGCTCAGTGACTTCGGTTTCCCAGGCCCCAGAGAGAACGCATTTGAGCACTGTGAGCTCATGCTTTCTCCTTCCCACCGTGAGTTATGGGTGCACAGCGGATAAGACTGCATGGTGGTTTGGGGCAATGCGAGCCTCTATCTGTTCAGGCACAGGGAGACGGGGATGGGGGAGACAGAAGGATCAGTTCGCAACCCTCAAGGGCAGCTCATCACATAATTGGATCAGGCTGATGCAATCAAAGAAGGTGCCATGTGGTGTAAGCAGACAATAGCCCAAGAGAATAACACGTCCACACAGAAGACGGATGATCAGAACACTGCCAAGTTTCCCTCTTGCAGGCTTTAGCCTTTTAAATCCAAGTCCCAAAGGCCTTGTTTCTGTACTGTGGAGCCCGGATGCAGAACCTGGACAACAGGCTCCAATTCAGAGGACTGAGTCAAGCGTTTCCATCTTGGATGGCCTGAGATGACCCATTGGGAAGACCAATGATCTAGGAGGCTGGAGTCCTGAAATGTGGTCCCAACTTTGTCATTTATTTGTTTGACTTAGCCAAGGCACTTCTTGTGGGCCTCAACTTACTTATCATAAAATAGGAATAATAATCTCTCTCACTTATTCTAAAGCTTTTGTGTGAGGGTCATGTTGATGAGAGTGCTTTGAAGAGAGTGAACTGTAGGTAATACACACATATAGGGCATTACTAGACGGCGACAAACCCACAAGCCTTCACAATCATCAGCCTTAGATTAATCAAGGCTGCTCATCCCCAGGTGTGAAGTACTTCAGGCTCTATTCTTACAGCGGGGTGGGATCTCTGAAAACAGCTGCAAGCCACCAGTGCTCCTCTCTCCTGTGGATAAAGCAGAACTAGAGTTCCCTAGGCTGAGAAAGAAGGCACCACCTGGAGCTCCCCAGGGCTCTCTGTCACTCACAATCCAGCCGCCTCCATCCGTGTCCATGTCACAGTACACCTGCAGGGGCCGGCTGGCGTCACCGTGCAGGTAGATGGTGTATAGGCCACTGGCAACGTCATTGTTCTGTTGAACTTGACTGCAGTCCGAAGGGTGTGGAAAACGGGCGCCAACTGGGAGCCAAGCAGAGGGACAGCGTCTTTAGAAGTGCGAAAAAGGGGAGTGAGGCTATTCCCCTATTTTAAGATAATTTATTTTGTGTAGAAATTATTTCATAACCTCCTACTACTTTGCTTCTCCACTCACATCTTAATTTTTCTCACTCTGCTCTCATCAAACCCTCCAAGTGTACTAGAAATAAGGTCAAGTTCACATCACTTCCTCCCCTGACCCAACTCCCCCCTGCCAAAATAACACTCCATTTCGCTCCCCTCTTTAGTCTCCCCACCAGGGGACGGATTTCTTTTGAGCCCATAACCCCGTTTCCATTTCCCTGCACCTAGAGAAATCCACGACTCTGTTGCCACTTGCTCCTCCTTGGACCCTTTTTCTGGCCTCTCCGATGTTTGTCCTCTACTGCATTCTCGTTCAGAGTGCAAGAGTCCACATTACCTGTGGAAAGGATGGTGGACACACTCCTGCTCCGACGATCACCTTTAAAGGCAACCAAGGAGACAGGGTAGGTGATGCCCTGCTCAAGGCCTTGCAGCTGAAACCTCTGGTCCCCTCGTCCGAGCTGTGCCTCCTACCAAACAAAGGAGACAGTGGGCAGTCACTCAGCTGATGACCCCCAGCACCCTAGGTGGCAACAGAATCTCCTGGAGCTAATGTCAGCACTCTCTGAGAGCACAGTGCTTTGTCTCTTCAAGGGCTCAGTGGCAGCCTAGAATCCCAGCTGCTTCTCTGGAGGGCGAGGCCCTAGACATTCAGCACTGCTGGGAGCACTAGCTGAGAGCCAGCACCTGGCATGGCTCTGGTGACCTCTGCCCTCCAGACACACGCTGGGGCGCTGCCGACAGCCACGGCGGGCAGCAACGGGCAGGCAATGCCAGGCTAAGAAGCTAATAAGGGGACGTGAAACTGGCCATTGATATGTGCGAGGCAGGAAGATAGTTGGTTTTTCAATAAACTTCCTTCTGAACTTGTCTTACTTCCTCTATAAAGACAGGGCTAACTTTCCTAGCAGGGCTGTCTTAAGCATTAATTGAGAGAATGAATAAATCAATGTGCCCTTCCTTTTTTCCTTCCTCCCTTCTTTCTTCCTTTTCAAGGAAAGAGAGTAATAATTTTCCATGGGGACAATTTTTGAAAATTTGCTGGCCTTCAGATTCTGGTTAATAACCATTAATCAATTCACTCAATAAATATTTAGTAAGCACCTACCGCCAGGTTCTAAGCACTAAATGATAAACGAAACAGATAAAAATTCCCTGTCCTCACAGAGCTAACATTTATCGAGGAAGACAAACAAACAAAATAACACAGGGCAGATGCATGGCCAGCAAATAAGCAGTGGTCAGCTAGCAGCAGGCACAAAGCTCAGTCCTATAAAATGAGACCACAATGTTCACAAATGACTGTGTTTAGCACTGCTCCTTGCACACAGCAGGTAATCAATAAGGATCAAGTCATTTATCAGCAGGTTGCCACGCGACCAGCAATCAAGCTGGTTGGCCCAAGTCAGTTGCTTGATACGGAAGCTGGGCATGGGCACCAAGAGAAAAGACGAGGAGGATCCAGTACCTTAACATTGCCATCTGGGAACTGGTAGGTCAGAATGTAGCCATCAATCTGAGCAGAGGGGGGTGTCCAGGTCAATACCCCACCAGACTGTGTTACAGCAGACGAACGAAGGTTTTGGGGAGGGTCGATGTCTGTATATCAAAAGCCAGGTAACTATTATTACTAAGGTGCAACTGAGGCGAGGTAACCGAAATGTTAACCTATATTTTCTCTCTACATAAACTCCCATGTCTCTTCCACCCTTCAAGCAGGTAGCAGGCTCTGTTATTCCTTACTACCAGCCCTTTATGCTTTTGTTTCCAAAATTATAGACCCATTGAGGACAAGAGGATTAAGGAACAGGGGCTCGGGTGGGTCCCGAGAGAGTGAACCTGGGCCCCCACTTCCCCAGCAGATTCCCAGAGAGCGGTGAGTGCAGGCAGTCTAGATTAGCAGACAGGGTCTCAGGGATGGCAGGGCTCCCGCAGTGGCGTGGAAGGGTGAAGGAGCGGCAGATCTGAAAGGGCCCTGCACACAGAAATCAGGCTGTCTCAGCAAACACCTACCTGGAAAGATGACTGAAATGCCAATGGGCACCCCCATGCCTGGCATTGGGAAACTGCCCAAGACTTCTCATCAGCCCTGGGGAAGGAGCATGACCCTAAATTTGCTGAGATTTCTAACCAACCAGCTGGGGGGGGGGTGCTTATGATGGAAATTAAGTTGATATAGAAATATAAAGTTCTCTTTCTTACATATCTAAGTATATGGGCTTAGATGCATACTCTGTACAGATAGAATAGGGGGAGAGCTTGTATAAAGGAGGAGAGGAAGGAAGGGAGGGAGGGAGGAGAGAGAGAGAGACGAGAGAGAGAGAGAGAGAGAGAGAGAGGGAGAGAGAGAGAGAGAGGGAGAGAGAGAGAGAAAGAGCAGAGAGCTTTTCTTCTGATTCCTATGCACTTTCCCACTCAAACACCAGAGGGAATGCATGGGTCTCTGTGTGTGCACTGGAGACCAGGAAACCTAAAGCTCAGCAAAAATTCTAATCAACACCATAATAATTGGTCAGATGGCTCATTTTTTTTAACCAAATAAGATATGAATGGAAATTTCCATTTTTAAAAATCATTATCATAGAATGTGATTTTAATTTAGAAGTTCCCAAAAAAGACGTCTCCAGGCTATTTTCTACCCAGTAGCATTTCAGCTGAGAACTGAACTGCAGTATTTTAATAGAAATCAGGCAGCTGTTGTTTTGAATTAGAGTGTTTTGACAAATTCTGTGTTTCTGTAATATCAGCTTGGTTTGACTTTCTAAAGCATAACATCTGGTGTGGATTTTATTCTATCCATCACATGGAAAAACTGAATTTACTGCTTTTAAAATAAAAGCAAAACCTTAACTATTTAAGTATGTTAAGCTGGTTTCTGCTACCTCTTCAGTTGCCCACCCATCACCGGGTTACGGACTTGAGATGTCTGTCTTAGTTACTTCCACATTTCTATGAAGTAGAAAGATGATAATGTTGTCTTTAAAAATGAGGAAAGTGAAGCAGAGAGAACATAAAGAAGGAAGAGAGGAAGAAAGGAGCAAGGGAGGGAGGGAGACAGAGAGGGAGAAAGGGTGGAGGAAGGGAGGGAGGGAGGGAGGCAAGAGAGCAGGAGGAGGGAGGGGAGAGAAGGAGGAGGGAGGGGAGGGGAGAAGGAAATGAGGGGAGGGGAGAAGGAGGAGAGAGGAGAGGTAGGGGGAAGGAGGGAGAGGAGAAAGAGGGAGGAAGATACTGGTTGCCTCTGAAGAGCAGCACTGGGTGTTAGAGAGTCTGAGATGTGCAAAAGAGTTTTTCTTTCTACACATCTTTGTTTAGTCTGAAAATTTCTACTATAAGCATATATTACTTTTTCGATTAAAAATTTCTGCTAACTGTAACTAATAAAAATAATAAAGAAATTCAAGGCACCTCTAACTCCAGTGGCCACACATGGTGTACTCGGCCGCAAAGGGGACAGCCGGTCCTTGCCCAAACTGTCTGAAGAGGCCCATGGACCTCAGGGTGGGCACAGTGCTCTTCTCAGGTCCCTCTGATGCCTGATTTCCATGATGTTCAGCGAGACCAGAGGCCCCGTCATGCACATAAAACACAAGCAGTCCAGGCCCCTTTGATTACCAACTGGAGAGGGACAGTGAGGGGAGAAAGATGCTCCACCACTGCCCCCAAGCCAGAAGACAGAAACAGAAAAGGCTCCTGGCCTCTCTCTTCTCCGAACTACAGCTGAGCCCCAACCAGGTTCTAACGTCCAGGGTGGAGAGCCCGGGAGTTGGGCTGGGTGGAGGGGGTGTAAGGGAGGCTACTTTTGGCACAACCATCTTGGAGAGTAACACAGGTTTACTTTCACACCACTTCCTCTACACTTTCATCTTAATCGCAACTGTCATGTCAACGTATCACCTCAAAAAGGTAAAGAGAGAACCACTTGGAAGAACCTCCTCGGTGAAACAACTGCCTTCCCTGCTCTCCTCCCCACCCCCAGTTATGGAATAAGACTGTCCTGACAGGTGTGAAGGGCTCCCTGTCCCAGTCCCTCACAGTACCTGTCAGCGCCTTGGTGTCTTCCTTCTTGCTCGCCTGGTCCCCCTTCTCAGCCCACACGTGGACCGTGTACTCCACGCCCGGCCTCAGGCCAGTCAGGACGGTGCTGTTCTGCTCCTTCCCCACTGGAACCTCCCTGGTGTCTCCATCAGCAGGGGTGTAGCGCACCATGTACCTGTCGATGACGGCCTGCACCGGGTCCCAGGAGATGGTGGCCGTGTCCTCTGTCACCCGGTCGGTCACCAGGTTTTTGGGGCTGTCAATTTCTTTAAGAAAATGTTGGAAAAACCTAAGCTTTGAAGCCATGGAAGAGATACCCACCACCCCATCACCACGATTTCCATCTTCTAGAGCTCTCTTAGCACAAGGCAATGGCATTCCCATCCAGAGTCGCTGGTGGGAGTCGAGGGAGAAAGTAAGCCTGGTTCTCAATTTCTAAGGACTAGTTATTATAAGTTTGAAATACATTTTTGGCTTTCAGCTCCCTAAAATGTGGGAGGAACCATGTCTTCTTAACAACATTATGGCACATCAAAACCATCGATCAAACATCTGCCATGGCTTTCAGGGGAGCTAATTTGTCATTTTATCAAGGGCTACTTACCTCACAGGCAATCATTCTAAAAGCATTATCACAAGCATTGCAGTGACCAGATCCCATACACGTCTTTGCTGAGTCTGCTAAAAACACGGCTACTGCACAATTCTACTTCTCCCTTCCACGAGTTGAGCGCTTCCATGAGCGGCTCATCACTGTCAGGGAAAGGCAGCTCATTGAGATCACCATGAAAGCTCGCTGTCTTTCTTTGATCTTTAAGACTTCCTTTGTAAAGTCTCTTAGCTCAGGCCACATCTTTTGGCACCATGCACATTCAAATCCACACGCTCAAAATTCAATTCCAATTGACCATCTTTCTCTTGTTACCTGTTGGGGCCTTGGTGTCGGCCTTCTTGCTCTCTCGATCCCCCTTCTCAGCCCACACGTGGACCGTGTACTCCACGCCCGGCCTCAGGCCAGTCAGGACGGTGCTGTTCTGCTCCTTCCCCACAGGAAGCTCCCTGGTGTCTCCATCAACAGAGGTGTAACGCAGCATGTACCTGTCGATGACGGCCTGCACCGGGTCCCAGGAGACAGTGGCCGTGTTCTCCGTCACCTGGTTGGTCACCAGGTTTTTGGGGCTGTCAATTTCTTTTTAAAAGAAAAGGTTGAATTTTAGAGCCAAGGGAGGATATCCCACCACCCCATCACCGGAAGCTCTCCATTCAAGTTATTGACTAATGATACAATTCCATTTCAAATAGGAAAAAAAGGCCTCTGGTTTCCATCTTCCAGGGAAACAAACCACTGGATATTAAAACTGGAAGGAATTAGATCTCCAAGTTTGTTAATATGGAAATTTTCTGTCCTTCTATTTCCCATAAAAATCTCTGGAGCAACAAGATAAACCACCCAAATTGCTGTTGAAACAACCTCTGTTGTTATCTCCGTGGTATCTAGTTCTCTTGTTTCATAGAATTTGAGAGCTAAGAAGTCATATCTTAGAACCTTCCTGTCTAATAAAAGGGGCGGAGAAAGGAGGCCCAGAGAAATGAAAGACTTGTCCAAGATCCCATTGTTTTTTTATGTTAAAAAAAAGACTAGACCCTCTTCCCTCAGAATTTCGAGCCTTCCCATCTTCACAAGGACTTTGCTCCTTTTCATCTACTGTCTCCCTCCTGCATCATTAGCTTCTTCTCCTCTACCTTCATTCCCAGACAAGCAAGCTCTAGGATCTCCCATCCCTCTGCACCTCTTAACTGACAGACTTCTTAAGAGAACTGTCTGCATACCTTAACTTCACTTCTCACCTCCCATTCACTTCTCAATTCAATGAAGTTGGTATTTTTCTACACCACACCACTAAAACTGCCAATCTAGGTCACTAACAACTTCCATGTTGCCAAATCCAATGGATATTCACCATCCTCACCTTCCTGGGTTTTTGAGCAGCATTTGGCAGAGTTAATCCACTCCCTCCACCTTGAAACACGCTCAGCTCTAGGCATCCATGACTACACACTCTCGTGGTTTCCTCCTAACTCCCTGACTCCTCCTCAGTCTCCCTTGTCAGCAACCTGTAAATACTGGGGCACCCAAGGTTCCCTCTCTTCCTCTCTCTCTGCACTTCTCCCTAGGTGATCTCACCCATGTCCACAGCTTTAAATACCAAGTAGATGCTCATGACTCCCCAATATGTATAATTCTGAGCCCCTGACTTGATTCTTCAACTGTATATCCACCACAGTGCCTAGCATGCATTAGACACTCAATAAATATTTATGGAATCAATCAATAAATCACTCAATTGACCAAGGAATCTCACAAATATCTTGAATTTAAATAAAAGTGTTAATGTTCCCCCCCAAACCTATTCATCTCTCAGAAAATGATGCTCTAATCTTTCATGTTGCTCGAGTCAAAAAACACAAAGCATACTTGATTCTTCATTTTCTTCCTGCCCCACATCTCATCCATCAACGAACACTGTCATTTATACCTCCAAATATGTACCCAGATATCTCCTTTTCTCTATCCCTACCTTCACTGGTGATCTAGTGGTTAAGATTTGGCAATCTCACTGCCGCGGCCCAGGTTCATTTCTGGATCAGGGAACCATACCACCTGTCTGTCATATCGTGGTGGCTGCATGTTGCTGTGATGCTGAAAACTATGCCACCGGTATTTCAAATACCAGCAGGGACACCCATGGTGGACAGGTTTCAGTGGAGCATCCAGGCTAAGACAGACTAGGAAGAAGGACCTGGCCATCCCCTTCTGAAAAAATTGGCCATGAAAATCCTATGAATAGCAGCGGAGCACTGTCTGATATAGCGCCAGAAGGTGAGAAGATGGTGCAAAAAGACCGGGCAGGGTTCCGCTCTGCTGTACACAGGGTCGCTAGGAGTCAGAATCGACTCAATGACACTAACAACAAACTGCCATCACACTAGTCCAAATCATCATCATCTCTCACCCAGACTTTTATAATACCCTCTTTACTAATCTTCCCACTTCTGCCCTTGTCGTCTCTTCCATTTATTCTCCTCACTGTGGCCCGAATAATCTTTTTAAAATGAATACCGCATCATGTCACTCTTCTAATAAATCTAATATGCTTCCTCTTTTAGGCACCATATGGTCCCGTATGATCTGACCCCTGCCTCCTTCCGTTTCATCTCATGCCACTTTCTCTCTCACTCTCCAAGATCCAGAGACACCAGCCTCTTCTCAGTTCTTCAACCATCCCGTGCTGTTCCAGCTTACGGCCATCACACATACTCTTTCCTCTGCCAGAAATGGCTAGTTTTCCCCAATATCCATGCTCTTCTTCTTCTACAATCACACTGTCCAACAGATCTCTCTGCAGTGATGGAAATAGTCTATAATTTTCACTGTCCAATCCAGTAGCCATTAGTCACATGTAACTATTGACCCCTTGAAATGTGGCTAGAACAACTGAGGACATATTTTTTAATTAGTTTTTTTTTTTTTTTAAAGATTTTATTTATTTATTTTTCCCCCAAAGCCCCAGTACATAGTTGTCTGTCATAGCTGCACATCCTTCTAGTTGCTGTATGTGGGACGCGGCCTCAGCATGGCTGGAGGAGTGGTGCCTCGGTGCGCACCCGGGATCCGAACCCGGGCCGCCGGCAGCGGAGCGCACGCACTTAACCGCTAAGCCACGGGGCCGGCCCGAATTAGTTTTAATTAATTAAAATTTAAATAGCCACACGTAGCTAGTGGCTACTGGGTTGGACAGGACGGTATAACAGAAGCTTAAGCTGCACACATGGCCATCCAGCAGAAGACTTCATTTCCCAGCCTCTCTTATGGTGAGGTCTGGCACTCTGTCTGGATCTGGCCAATGGAACGTGGAAAGAACCGATGTGTACAATGTTCTTCCCTTTCCCCCAGTCATGTTCTTCCCTTCCCCACGCCCCTTTCCACCAGCTGGAATGAGGATGGGTGATGACCATGTAGATGAAGGCAACTCCCGAGGGATGACTGAGCAAGAATACAGAGGAGCCTGGGTCTCCTGCACCATGGAGCTACCTATCAGCCCTTGCTCACTTACACTCTGACCATTCCACAAGGGAAGAATAAACTTCTTTCTTGTTTAAGCAATTGTTATTTGGGTGTTTCTGTCGATGTGTGTCTTAACTACTATTCACCCCATCCCATCTAAGAAATATCCCTACCCTGTTATTCTCTACACCTACACCATATTCACCTTGTTCAGAGAATTTACCATAATTTACAGTTTTAAATTTGTTTCCTTGTTTGTTATCTTTCTTTCCCACTGGACTTCAAGAGAGTAGGGATCATATTTGTTTTGTTCACCTCTGTATCCCAGGCCTGGCAATTAGAAGAGGCTCATTAAAAATTAGCTGCATGATGACATGAACACAGAGCTTCAGCTGCCCAGAGTAACACTGTTCCTTTAAACTATACACCACCATTAAGTCAAACCTACATGAAATAGCTTGCCACAACTCACTTATTTATCCAGTGTTTTTAGTAATTTTATATTGGTTTTACCTTATTCCCTATAATTTGCTATAATCATAGCAAGAGAGGCACAGTGGTTAAAAACAGAGGCTTTGTAAGAGTTTTAAGACATTCATGGGGTTGCTCAGTACTGAGTCCATTACTATCCTTTTTTTCTTCAGGTGAATGAAATTTTTTATAGCAAACTCTCCTAAAACAGTCCACAGTCCCTGAGGTCACAGACCCCAAAAGCAGTGGTGTCATAATTCAGCAGCAATAGATCAAACCTGCACTGATGACCCTAGTTCTTCTCCTCCCTCCTGTTACCTGTCGGGGCCTTGGTGTCGGCCTTCTTGCTCTCCTGGTCCCCCTTCTCGGCCCACACGTGGATCGTGTACTCCACGCCCGGCCTCAGGTCCGTCAGGATGGTGCCGTTCTGCTCCTTCCCCACTGGAAACTCCCTGGTGTCTCCATCAGCAGAGGTATAGCGCACCATGTACCTGTCAATGACGGCCTGTACTGGATCCCAGGAGACAGCAGCTGTGTTCTCAGTCATATGGTTGGTCACCAGGTTTTGGGGGCTGTCAATGTCTAAAAGGAAAAGTGCTTATCAATATGCACTATTACTAGGCCACAGAGTGCAAAAACTCATGGCCATTTTGCTTGGGGTGAGACCCTTTCACGTTTTGTGGTTTTTCCATCTCATATACTCTAACTGCTTCATGGGCATATGTCTTCTCTCCCCAGATAAACTTTGGCTCCTCAAGGAGATAGCACAGTTGACCCAAATCTGAAAATCTACACCATTACCTCTACCAAGAGTTTAGCAAAACAAAGCTCTATTCATTCAGTAAGTGTACATCAACCTCCCACTATGTACAAGGCATGGCGCTAGGCATGTGCAGAGTCCAGTTGAAGAAGACACAGTCTCTGTTCACAAACAGGTAATAATTTTGTTTCTAGCATCATGTCAATGAAGATCTCCCATTTCATACAAGAAGATTCTAATAGTCAGAGGCAAATGTAAGCTCCTAGAGGAAGGGGGCTGCATCCTATTCCTCTCTGGGTTCCCAGTGCCTAGTAGAAAACAGGGCAAATGGAAAGTGCTCAATACATATTGTTAAATGAATCAGCAAAAATTAAAACCCAGTTTTAATATTCTTCAGCATATCATAGATTCACTTGTAATGTTGGTTTTTTGGTTAAATCATTGTACAGAAATATGGCCATACATCTCTTTCATAATAATATAAGATATAACATAGAAGTTATCTTTATCCTCAAAACCAAAATCATCAAAGATTACAGTAAAGCAAACCACATACATCTACTTGCTGTAGTAGATGTAAAATCTACTTTTTAAAGTTGAATTTTCCACATATTATAATTAATACTAACAATATATAATTTTTATTTTCTGTTCCCATTCACAGACTCAATGAGACCTTCAACACTCTACAACAAAAGACTCATGCACTCAGAGGAGGAGTGTTTGGACATGACCATCCAATCATGGCAAATTGTAGCTTGGAGACTGCCACGTGGACCTGACTTGTAAGGACACTAGTCAAAAGGAAGTGAAGGATGGTGTGTGCAATCTAATATGAAGGGATACCATCCTGATCTTCCATAAATCATCAGTTCTCCCAGTGTCAGAGCAGGAAACAAATTTGACCAGCCATAGGCTTAGCATGACAAGGCTTACGTTCCCAAAGAACAATGTTCCGTCACCTGTCGGGGCCTTGGTGTCGGCCTTCTTGCTCTCTCGATCCCCCTTCTCGGCCCACACATGGACCGTGTACTCCACGCCCGGCCTCAGGTCCGTCAGGATGGCACTGCTCTGCTCCTTCCCCACTGGAATCTCCCTGGTGTCTCCATCAGCAGAAGTGTAGCGCACCATGTACCTGTCAATGACGGCCTGCACCGGGTCCCAGGAGACAGTGGCCGTGTTCTCTGTTACCAGGTTGGTCACCAGGTTTTTGGGGCTGTCAATGTCTGAAAGAAAAATGATGATCAACAAACACTATTAACAGAATGAGGGTTTGTGGCCATGTTGCTAGGTGTGAGGCAGTTTCCTCTGCTATGGTTTTCACATCTCATACGTCGGTTTTCAGTGGCTTCATGGACATAGATCTTCTTTCCACAGCTGGACTCCTGGATCCTCAAGGAGGCATCACAGGACAGTAGAATGAGCACTAGATCCAGATTCAGAAGAGCTAGGTTCTATTTCCAGCCTGGAGAGGCAGAGCAGAGGGGCAGGAAGAGCCCTGGGCTGGAATCAGCAGACCAGGGATCTAGGCCCAGCTCTGCCATCAGTTAGCTGTGGCCCTGGACAACTCTGTGCCTCTGGCTGGGCCTCAGTTTCCTCACTTGTAAAATGTGGGCCTTATTAAATAGATTTTAAGGTACCATAATATTCCATGAATATTCCATGAATCTGACTCAATGAATCATCAGCTAACTTCGTGACTTAGAGAAATCATGCACGTGTATTTGAGGTTTCTCAACTGTAGAATGGGGAATATTGATTCCTGCTCTACCCATCACAACAAATTCCTCTCAGGACCAAGTAAATGAGGAATATAACCTTCATTCATTGCTGGTGGGAATGTATAATAGTGCAACAATTTGGTGGTTCCTCAAAAAATTAAACAGAGTTACCATATGACCCAGCAATTCCGCTTCTAGGTATGTACCCACGAGACCTGAAAATATATGTCCACACAAAAATTTGTACACAAATGCTCATAGCATCATTATTCACAATAGCCAAAAAGTGGAAACAACCCAAATGCCTATCAACTGACAAATGGATAAACAAAACGTGTTATATCCATAATGACGGAATATTATTTGGCAATAAAATGAGGTAGTGATGCATGCTACAACATGGATGAACCTTGAAAATATTATGTTTAGTGAACAAAGCTAGTCACAAAAGGCTTCGTGTTGTACGAATCCATGTATATGAAACATCCAGAACAAAGAAATCTATGAGACTAGATTAGGGGCCAGCCGGTGGCAGAGCGGTGAAGTTCATGTGTTCCACTTTGGCAGCCTGGGGTTCGCCGGTTTGGATCTTGGGCGCAGACCTACTCACTGCTCATCAAGCCGTGCTGAGGCGGCATCCCACATAGAGCAACTAGAAGGATGTACAACTATGACATACAACTATCTACTGGAGCCTTGGGGAGAAAAAAAAAAAAAGAGGAAGATTGGCAACAGATGTTAGCACTGGGCTAATCTTCCTCAAAAAACAAATTCTAAAAAAAAAAAAAGGTAGTAGTTCCCTAGGGCTGGAGGAAGTGGGGATGGGTAATGACTGGTAATGGGTATGGGGTTTCTTTTTGCGGTGATGATAAAAACGTTCTAAATTAGATAGTGGCAATGGTTGCACAACTCTGTGAATATACTAAAAACCTCTGAATTGAACATTTAAAAAGGGTGAATTTTATAGTACGTAAATTATATCTCAATAAATCTGTTCTTAAAAAATGAGGAAGCAGAGATGAAAGAGCTTTAAAAATTAGGAACTGTTATTGTGCATAAGTGCAACCTTAGGATCCTCAGAACGGAGCACACAGTACTCAAAAGACGATTTATCCACTAAGAAAGCAGTTATCCTTTCTTCTTCCAAAGAGATCACAGCAAAAGCCATTTCCCTAACGTACTTAGCTCACAGATCCTAACACATATGGTTTCTTTATATCTCTTCCCTTTCAAGAAGAAACATGTAATGACTGATCACAAAGGAAATACACAATGGGAGGAATAGTGGGTGGACAGGACCCCCTGCCATTTATCTTTACAAGACACCAAAGTATGAGGCCAAATGTGAGCTTCTTACTTTGAAATAATGTGTAAAAGGGAAGTGAGAGATAGTGTGTGTAGTCTGACAGAAGTCTACCATCCTGTTCTTCCATAGATCATCAATTCTGTCAATGTCAGGGCAGGAAAATAAAACTTGACCAGCCATAGGCTTAGCATGACAAGGCTTACATCCCCAAAGAATAATGCTCCATTACCTGTTGGGGCCTTGGTGTCAGCCTTCTTGCTCTCTCGATCCCCCTTCTCGGCCCACACGTGGACCGTGTACTCCACGCCCGGCCTCAGGTCCGTCAGGATGGTGCTGTTCTGCTCCTTCCCCACTGGAACCTCCCTGGTGTCTCCATCAGCAGAGGTGTAGCGCACCATGTACCTGTCAATGACGGCTTGCACCGGGTCCCAGGAGATGGTGGCCGTGTTCTCCGTCACCAAGTCAGTCACCAGGTTTTTGGGGCTGTCAATGTCTGAAAGGAAAACGATGATCAATAAACACTACTAACAGAATGAGATCTTGTGGCCATGTTGCTTGGGGTGAGGCAGTTTCTTGGTCTTATGGTTTTCACATCTCATACGTCGGTTTTCAGTGGTTTCATGGACATAGATCTTCTTTCCACAGCTAGACTCTTGGATCCTCAAGGAGGCATCACAGGACAGTAGAATGAGTACTAGATCCAGAGTTAGAAGAGCTGGACAACAAAAGTCAGTGGCCCTGGACAACTCAGCTGCCTCTGGCTGGGCCTCAGTATCTTATCTGTAAACTCTGGGGTATTACATGAGTTAATAACATGTCCCTTGTGACAGTTCCTGGCACGGAGTGAATGCCCAATGACCATAAGCTATTATTAACGCTATCAGTTTGTTAATATTTTATAAACGTACAAGATTATACTCTGCCACACCACACACAGAGAAGGTATTCAAAAATGTATTTGCCAAGGAAATAATAGCATTTCTTTGTTCCAAATGGTTCATTGCAAAAGCCATTTCCCTAAAGTCTTTGCTCCTAGATTCCATCACACATGTGCAATGGTACCTTCGGGTGGGACTATTCTTATCTTGGTTTAGGCTGTGACCCCCAAGAACACTGGTATCTACATTCCAACTTGAGTGCCCACAACCAAGGCAGGACCAACAGTTTTATGGTCCTTGACTGACCAACCATCTCCAGACTAGGAAAGAGGTTGGAGAGAGCAAAGAGGTGGGACTTAGAGTTGAATTCTTTGGAGACAGTTTCACTGTGAGTCCCATGGGTGAGACCCAAGCCTCGAATAAGCAGTTTCAATGGGATCCCTTACAGAGGTTGTTATGTATACCCTAGAGCAGTGGTTCTCAACCACGGGCAATTGGCAATGTCTGGAGAAATTTTTAGTTGTCACAATTCAATGTGGGATAGGAAGGCACTGGCATCTAATGGGTAGAGGCCAGGGATCCTGATAAACATCCTACACTGCACAAGCAGACTCTTGCAACAATAATTATCCAACCCAAATTATCAATAGAGCCAAGTTTCAGAAACCCTGCCCAATGCTTGGAGAAGACCACACTGCTGGTGTCTGACACACTCCTAAAATACCTAAGAGGTAAGAAAATGCCTGGTTGCTCTGATGCAGAGGAATGAGAGGCTGCAGCATTGCCAAAGACATGCATCCAATTGAATGGACAAAGGATGCATGTGTATTCCCCATGGACCAGATGTAGAACAAGCAAAGGACAGCCCACCTGGGGTTATTTAAGAAGCTGCCCAAAGAGGATCACCTAAAGGGGTGAGGTGACCCCATCAGAAAGGCACTGGAGTGCACCCCCAGATATGTGGGCAGAGGAAGGGGAGTAGGAGACCAGTAGGAGAGATGCCTTTGCCCACAGGATCACTACAGGGAGAGATCTGAACAGAGGAGGACACATAAGGTGTCCCTGAAGAACCCACAGAAGTGTTCCATGAGGGAAAGAGCTTGAAAACTTGTCAGATCCCATGACAGGCCCAAGCCAGCTGTGACTGTTATAGTCAAGCAAGACTTCCACGACCCCTTGCCTCTCCTCCTCTGGGACCCCTTACCGCCCTCCTGACCCCTTACCTCCCTCTTGACCCCCTACCTCCCTCCCAGCTGTGTCAAACACAAATGGGTCAGAAACTGCAGCGAGCATGCTGGAAGGACAGGGCTTCAAGTACAAAAAGGGAAACACAAGATAAGTCGTGCACCTCCCCTTCCTGCGGAAGGCGGTTACGGCCCACGGGGACGGAGAGGAGAAGCTTCAGCTTTAAATGAAGTATGCATTATTACACGAGTGTGGGCATTTTAATTACTAAAATCATACATTTGGGGGATGAAAAGTGACTAGATATTTGCTTCTTTTTAGCTAATAAAACATTGTTATTATTTCCGCCTAAAACATTTATCCAAAAGGGCAGAAACAAAACCAAGTTCCACAGATAGTGTTTAAACAGGTGAGGAGGGGGAAAAAGTCATTTTTGGACCACAGTCTACAAGTCTGGCTCCCTCAGCATGAGCAGTACTTGTGCTTTCTTCATATTTATCCCTTATCACGGTGAAGCCTTTAGTGTGTTAATAACAAAGAAGGTGCACAGGCAGAGAACAAAGGACTGTGAGCAATAACATCAATCTCTAAAGACCAAAGTTCGGAGACCACAGGATGAGCTATACATTCAGAGAGAAGCCATTCAATGGAAGTAAGGGGCACACATTTACTACGGAAGGATACCAACCTGCTCTCCCATAAAACCTCCCTTTCTGCCAAGGTCAGAGAAGGAAAACCAACCTAGACAGACTACGAGCTTAGCAGTGACACAGTTACAATGCATGCTCCATTACCTGTCGGGGCCTTGGTGTCAGCCTTCTTGCTCGCCTGGTCCCCCTTCTCAGCCCACACGTGGACCACGTACTCCACGCCAGGCCTCAGGTCTGTCAGGACGGTGCTGTTCTGCTCCTTCCCCACTGGAACCTCCCTGGTGTCTCCATCAGCAGAGGTGTAGCGCACCATGTACCTGTCGATGACGGCCTGCACCGGGTCCCAGGAGATGGTGGCCGTGTTCTCTGTCACCCGGTCGGTCACCAGGTTTTTGGGGCTGTCAATTTCTTTAAGAAAATGTTGGAAAAACCTAAGCTTTGAAGCCATGGAAGAGATACCCACCACCCCATCACCATGATTTTCATCTTCTAGAGCTCTCTTAGCACAAGGCAATGGCATTCCCATCCAGTCGCTGGTGGGAGTCAAGGGAGAAAGTAAGCCTGGTTCTCAATTTCTAAGGACTAGTTATTATAAGTTTGACATACTTTTTTGGCTTTCAGCTCCCTAAAATGTGGGAGGAACAATGATGTCTTCTTAACAACATTATGGCACATCAAAACCATCAATTAAACATCTGCCATGGTGTTCAGGGGAGCTAATTTATCATTTTATCAGGGGCTACTTCACAGGCAATCATTCTAAAACTATTATCATAAGCATTGCAGTGACCAGATCCTATAAACGTCTTTGCTGAGGCTGCTAAAAACATGGCTACTGCACAATTTTACTTCTCCCTTCTATGGGTTGAGTGGTTCCATGGGCAGCTCATCACTGTCAGGGAAAGGCAGCTCATTGAGATCACCACGAAAGCTCACTGTCTTTCTTTGATCTTTAAGACTTCCTTTGTAAAGTCTCTCAACTCAGGTCACATCTTTTGACACCATGCACACTCAAATCCACATGCTCAAAATTCAATTCCAATTGACCATCTTTCTCTTGTTACCTGTTGGGGCCTTGGTGTCGGCCTTCTTGCTCTCCCGGTCCCCCTTCTCGGCCCACACGTGGACCGTGTACTCCACACCCGGCCTCAAGTCCGTCAGGATGGTGCTGTTCTGCTCCTTCCCCACTGGAACCTCCCTGGTGTCTCCATCAGCAGAGGTGTAGCGCACCATGTACCTGTCAATGACGGCCTGCACCGGGTCCCAGGAGACAGTGGCCATGTTCTCCGTCACCAGGTCAGTCACCAGGTTTGTTGGGCTGTCAATTTCTTTAAGAGAGATGAAAGAGTATAGCATTTACCAACTCTCTGGTTCCTGAAAAGCCAGCACACACACAATCAAAATGATGCCCCCAACAAATTTCAGAGTCTGTTTTATGCCAGTGATTGGGATAAGTGAAGGGTTTAATTAACCAAATGGTCTAGGGTTTTCAGACAAATCCAACATAAAATCTCAACTCTATAAACTTTTCCCACAAGTTGCCTTTGGATAAAAAGAATTGGTCTTCATGTATAAATTTCTCTTTTACCCCAGATTTATATAATACACTCTTTCAGTTCCAGACCCCTTGTACCTGAAAACAATTATACTTCAATAAATCTCTGCATCAGCTCTAATATTTTCTTTGGGAAGAAAAATATCCTGGGAGTAGGAGCTGTCAGTTCTTTCCATATAAATCACTATGTCTGTGGCCAGAGAACCAGGAGACTTTTAAATTGCTGGTATTCGAGGTCTGGGCTGATAAAAATCATCCTACCTGTAGAATCTGTCTGGGTTTCTATGCAGTTAAACTGGATTAGAACCTGGGCTTCACCATTTCCTGATTGCTAACTTTGGACAAACTGTATAATTTAAGTCTTGGTCTCCTCATCTGTATGAAGAATGAAATATCAGTACCTACTTCATAGGTTTTGGTGAATAGTAAATGAGATATTGCATAGTAAATGCTTAAATATGAGCTCCTTGTTATTACGAACGTCATTTGAGGAATGAAATACCACTTTCTCCTCAAAATGTAAACCCTTCTAGAGTCAAAAATTCAAGATATTGGGTGCATGATTAGCATGACTTTTATTATCCCATTTCAAAAACCACCTCCTCAGAAGGCTGAGCTCTCTGCGATAGCAACTGTGTTTCAAACCTGCGTACCACCATTTGCCAAGTGCGGCCAGGCCAGCTCGCTGGAACACACAGCCAAGGGAGATAAGCTGCCTTAAGGAGAAGAGTTCAGAACGCACCACAGACAGCTGACATACAAGGACAAACAGTTTAGCTCCGGGATTCTGAGCTGGCTTTAACGCTCCAGCCTCATCCTTCACTACTCCACCACTCTCACAGACCTGTCCACCAGAAACATCACTTAACAGATAACTGCATGTTAAGATGTGCCAGAAAACCAACATGTCACATTCCCACACCTTAGGTCTTTGCATATGCTGCTCCCACTGCTAACACTCGCGCATCCTTCTAGGCTCTGTCCAGGTGTCACCTCCTTCTACAGCTGCCATAACCCCTCTCCATCCCAGGCTATGGTAGGTACCCTTTTTTCAGGTTCCCACAGTTCCAGGAACATTTATTTGCTCTAGAACGTAACTCATTGCACTTTATCTATTTGACTTGTTTTCTCTACCCAGAGTATTGTGAATGCCATATGAGCACAAACTGTGTCTTTTATCCTTGTACCCCCAAAGCCTAGCTGTGTGCCTGACACCCCCGGCAATACCACACCCCAGTGGCTCCCATTAGCTGGAGTGCTTACTCACACCATCCCAGCCTGAGGGAGGGGAAGGTTCTTCTCTATTCCAACTTCCACTGTCTTAAAAAGGTGACTCACATGCTTTTTCTTTTCACAACACTCAAAATCCTGGTAAACAGAAAGCCATATAAACCAGAAGTTGGCAATCTATAGCCCATGGGCCAAATCTGACCCACTGCCTATTTTTATAAATAAAGTTTTATTGGGACACTGTTATGCCAGTTCATTTACATTTTGTTCATGGCTGTTTTCTCATTTCACTGGCAGAGTCGAGTGGTTGCAACAGAGACTGTATGGCCCCCAAAGCTGAAAATATTTACTATCTGGCCCTTTACAGAAAGTTTGCTGATCCTGACTTTAAACAAACCTAGATCTCACCATCCTTACTGTCAACTTCTTCTCCTTCCCCTGGAAGAGATAAGGCCCACCTGGGCCCAGGAGGCTGTACATCACGAAATGCTTCAAGGGCTAAATGCTGATTAACATTTGCTACAGAAAGAATGTGCCCCCCTAAAATTCATATGTTGAAGCCATAACCCCCAATTTGATGGCATTTGGAGGTGAGACCTTTGGAAGGCAAATTAGGTTTAGATGAGGTCATGAGGATGGGCTCCCATGATGGCCTTAGTGCCTTCATAACAAGAAGAAGAGAGCAGAGCTTCCTCTCTCTGTCACGTAAGGGTACAGGAAGAAGGCGGCTGCCTGTAAGCCAAGAAGAAGGTCCTCACCAGGAACTGAATCAGCCAGCACCCAGATGGTGGGACTTTCCAGCCTCCAGAACCGTGAGAAATAAATTTCTGTTGTTAGAGCCACCCAGTCTATGGAATTTTGTTACAGCAGCCCGAGCAGACTAAGACACATGCTAAGAATTAATCACTACTGTAACTTATGTAGCACTTGCTATATGTCAGGCACTTACATGAATTAACCCATGTGACACTCAGATGCCCCCATTTTATAGATGAGAATCTGAAGAACAGAAGTGAAGTAACTTTCCCAAAGCCACTCAGCTAGTAAAGGTAGATCTGGGATTAAAACTTGGACAGTCGGGGGCCAGCCCCATGGCTTAGTGGTTGGGTGCACGCGCTCCGCTACTGGTGGCCCTGGTTCGGATCCAGGAGCGCACCAACATACCACTTGTCCGGCCATGCTGAGGCAGCGTCCCACGTACAGCAGCTGAAAGGATGTGCAACTATGACATACAACTATCTACTGGGGCTTTGGGGAGAAAAAGGGGGAAAAAAACAAAAGGGAGGAGGACTGGCAATATATGTTAGCTCAGGGCCGGTCTTCTTCAGCAAAAAGAGGAGGATTGGCATGGATGTTCGCTCAGGGCTGATCTTCCTCACAAAAAAAAAAAAAGAGTCTTGGACAGTCAGGGCTCTGAAACCATGTTCCTAATTATCTGCTTCTCTGAGAGTCTCTACACTAAGTGACTTCCAAAACAGAGCCCAAATGATAACTGAATCCTGTTCTATGATTTTCTGTCAAGTGTTTGGAACCTCAAGTGGGCTTCAGGATCAGGCTTTTCTGAATCCAGTGATAGTGCCAGAGGAGGGTTTAAGCAGAAAGAATGTCCTAGATACGGCCTCATGCAGTCTCAGGACACTGCAGGCCAGAGCTGAGCAGAAGGACTGGGTGAAGATCCCTTCGGTTTCTGCAAGCTTAAAGGCAGAATCGTACATTTGCTGAATGTTGACTCAGGAAGCAAACCATTTCTACGGTCTGAAAGAGAGCTCCAGATCCTACGCAAAGTGCCTGTACTGTCCCCGCAGACTGAGATAAGCATGCAAATCCACTGTCAGCCAAATGTTTTGAGTTTTCGCATCCAAAAAATGAAAATTAGAAAGTGTTAGTCTACTCTGAGGGAGTCGCATATGGAATTCCAACCCAAATAAGTATGACCTTCTGTATCAAATAAAAAGGCTGGTCCCTTTTGTTTGAGATTAAAAAGGAAAAAATTCATAATCATGAAATTCAAAACTGCTTTTGCAACCCCATCCACCACCCCTGCAAACAAGAGAACTGATGCTAGGTGGACATCGGCCTCCTGATTCAAAAATCAACATTCTCCCTGCCGTGAGTAACCCTGTTTTTGCTCCCATTCTTCCATTACCTGTGAGGGCCTTCGTGTCGGCCTTCTTGCTCTCCTGGTTGCCTTTCTCAGCCCAAACATAGACTCTGTACGTCTCTCCCGGCTTCAGGCCCATCAAGATGGTGCTGTTCTGCTCCTTGGGTACCGCTGTGTCCTTGCTCTCCCCATCAGCGGAGATGTAGCGTACCATGTACTTATCTATGACAGCCTGGACTGGGTCCCAGGTGACCATTGCCGTGTCTTCTGTCACTCGATCAGTGACCACATTGGTTGGACTATCAATTTCTTCATAAAAATATATGAGAAAGAAAAATTAGAGAAGCATCTGGCTGGTCTTGATCACAGATGCTTCAAGATCTAGTTCATCTGGGGGACATAGTTCCATAGAACACAATGCAAGACGGTCTCTGTCATCTGTGACAGGTGGATAACTGGCGTCTGCTTGAAACCTAAGCTGAGAAAGGGCTCCCTGATGGACAAAACAATCCTTTCCATTTTCAAACACTGAACACATTACAGAAAACTGCTCCAAGTGTAGCCACTGGAAGCCTAACTCCTTCAAGTATGTCTACCCTCAGTTGGCACATAGAATACACCTCATTCCTCTTCCAAGAGACCATCCAGCAAGTATTCAAGAATAGTTATCCTTCTCCTCTAATCAAGACAGTTGCTCCTCTCCATTTCATATACTTATAAGTTATAAACATAAATTATATTATATTCTTATAAACTTACATTATAAACTTCCAAATTATAGTTTCTAGGCCTGTTACTTACATCTAGACATGCACCTTTCTTTCCCTTTTTGGAGAAAAATTCCCAAAATTGAGTTCATTCATTCAACAATTCACTGAGCGTCCATTCATGCGTGGAATGTAATGGTACTCAGGAGTCACCAATGAACAAAACAGTCAGAAATCCCTCCCCATGCAGAGTTCATATTCTAGAAGGACTAACCCAGAACAATATGCCCTCCATGTCCTAGACACTTTGCTTCTCAATAACGTATCCTCAGCCCACAGACTCAGAAAATTCCTAAGTTTTGTCACACACGTCCCTGCTAACCCAAGGGTTCTCAGCCTTTGTCAACACCAGGCAACTAGTAAGTCCCACCACCAGAGAGTCCACTTCAGAAGGTCTCAGGTAAGCCCTGACATCTTTATCTAAAAAACAAATAACCAAACTCCACAGGTGATTCTGATGCATATCAAAGGTTGAGAACCTCCACATTAAGTCACATCTTTCCAATTCTTTGCATATATGATAGATTTCCTGGACTCAACATTTATCCTTGCTATATCTTATCTTATAGATTCCATTTATAATTTAGTCTTTCATTCAACATGCCCACTTTCCTTGCCAGCTTCTTAGCATTTGCAAACTTAATCAGTAAGCCATCTGAGTGCATCCATCACAGTCCCTGATACAGATGCTGCACAGAACAAAGCCAAGGCACGCCATGAGAACCCTCCCTCCATGCAGATTGGTATCCTTTTGGGTAAGACACACACAACAGTTTCTTACTCTCAGAAACCTAAGCATTTTCCTTCCTCCCTATTCTGCTTTACTTGTCTTGGTCAAGGGGTCTGCAGCAGAGAAGTTACAACTTTACACGGCTGTATTTTTTAACATCAACTATAATGCACCTTTCTCGAGCACAGTGACAGTGTTTTATCTGGGCGCAAGGAAATGAAATATGTTCCATCACCACAGGCAGTGCAAGTTTTATTTAATAAATTGACTACCATTTATTGAGCACATACTAAGTGTCAGGTGCTTTTCATACATTACCTTGTCAAACCTCATATAGTAATGCAAGGCATTTATCAGATTCCCCACGTACTAGTTCAGAAAATTAATAATAGTTACCATTTTTAGGGCACTAACTATATGCCAGGCTCGGAGAGGTTAGATAACATGCCCAAGGTCACTAGTAAATGGTAGTCACTGATTCATTCTACAAACATTCATTGAGTGCCTATTTGAGCTTGGGATTCAACAGTGTTATGAGTTAAATTGTAACTCCCCCAAAAAGACATATTGAAGTGTTAACCCTCAGTAACTCAGAATGCGACCCTATTTAGAAATAGAGTCTTTCTAGAGATGATCAAATTAAAATGAGGTCATTAGGGAGGGCCTAACCCAATAAAACTCGTTTCCTTATAAAAGGAGGGAATTTAGATACAGAGACAGACACACACAGAGGAAAGACAACGTGAAGGCACACAAGGAGAAGACAGCTATGTGAATGGAGCATCTACAAGTCAAGGAATGCCAAGGATTTCCAACAAACTCCAGAAGCTAGAAGTAAGGAAGGATTCTCCCCTAGAACTGTCAGAGAGAGCACGGCCCTGCTGACACCTTGATTTCAGACTTCTGGCCTCCACAACTGTGAGACAGTTTCTTTCCTTCTTTTTTTTTTTGTGAGGAAGATCAGCCCTGAGCTAACATCTGCGAATCCTCCTCTTTTTTGCTGAGGAAGACTGGCCTTGGGCTAATATCGGTGCTCATCTTCCTCCACTTTATATGGGACACCGCCACAGAATGGCTTGACAAGTGGTGCGTCGGTGCGCGCCCGGGATCCAAACCGGTGAACCCTGGGGCCGCCGCAGTGGAGCGCGCACACTTAACTACTTGCGCCAGCGGGCCGGCCCCAGACAATCAGTTTCTGTAGTTCTAAGCCACCCAGTTTTTGGTACTCTGTTACAGCAGCCCTAGGATACTAATATAAGCAATGAACAAAATAAAGACTCTCTGCAAGGGAGCTTACATTCTCCTAGAGGAGCCAGACAATAAACAAGAGGTGATAGTACTGGGAAGTCCCATAAGGCAAGGTAAAGGGATTAGAAAACAGTGAACAAAAGATAATCTGTGATTCTAGACAGGGAGGTCAACAAAGATCTGTTCACTGAGAAGGTAACATTCAAACAAAGTCCTAAATACGTGAGGCAGCGGGCCTCGTGCGATCTGGGGAACGTCATTCCAGGCAGAAGGAGCAGCAAGTTCAAAGGCCCTGCTGCACGTATTCAGCGAACAGCAGGAGGCCAGTGCCTCTGGACAGAGTAACTGAGAGGGTCAAGTGACTAGAGGTGAGGCCAATGAGGTGAAGGGGCAAGTGGACAGCCTTGAAGGCTATTGTAATGACTTTGGCTTTTGCACTGCATGAGATGAGAAGCTTCTGGGAGTTTTGCACAAAAGAATGGCATGATCTGATTTGTGTTATAAAAGGATCACTCTGGCTGCTGCAGAGAGTACAGACTGTAGCAGGTCAAGAGTGGAGGTCACCTGGGAGGTGCCTACCACAGTTTATGTGCAAGATGACAGGAATGTGGACGACTGTGGCAGCGATGAAAGTCATGAGAAAGGTTGAACTGAGGAGATTTCACAGGTAAAGCTCTCAGAATCTGCTGATGGATTCGACGTGGGATACAACGACTTGCTGGTTTGGGGCCTAAGCAGTTTGCAGAACGGAGTGACCATTACAGAGATGGGGAGATCTGAGGGAGGGCAGGGTCTACAGGAGAGGGTGGGGAGAGAAATGGGACCAAGAGTTTGCTTTTGGAAATATTAAATGGTAGAGTCAAAATTTGAACCCATTCCTATCTATCAAAGACTACACATTTCCACTTTACACCACTGCATGCTAAGCAGCACAATCATCAGCCTTTTCTTATGGAACTACTACTACTAATAATAATAATAATAATAAATTTTAAATAAAATAAAGTATGACCTGAAAGTTTCCTGCAATCTGAAATCCAGCAGCACTGGTAGATTGGAGCTTGGAGTGACAACTAGAGAGAGGAAATGGTCTTAGAGTGTCACCTCTGGGAGACAGAGGCTGGCATACCTCACTGGCAGAGTGGGCCTCCTGGGATGAGAAGGCAGAGCAATCAGGATGTAGATACCAACAGGGCCATGTCCTTGGCCTCTGGAGGCTCGAGCAGGCTCTGAGAGGATGCACAGGAGAAAGTGTGCACAACCATAGAAAGGACTCCCTCCCCACCTTGTTGCCCCTTTCTGTGCAAAGCATGATTCTGCACATGATAGGGAGGAAGTGAAAAGAGTCTCCAAAGGTGGAGAATTCCCCCTCAATCTGGGGAAATTAGTGCTGAATTGGGAATGGGGACACTCAGGATGGAAACGTGCAGATAGGGAAGAAGGGAGCAAGAACACTAGACAGTCTTGCTCTTGAAGTCCTTGGCCCTCATCCTCTCCAAAGTGACCCACAATCTGTACAACCCAGGGTCCCAGAAGTGCCTCCCACCACCTCTCCCTGCCCCAGATCAGTGCTTGCCACCACAGCTACCAGGACCCACAGCACAGGCCCATGGCTTCATAGGGTCAGGGCTGCCGTGTGTGCAGCCCTCTCAAGATCCATCACATCCACATGGGTGGATGGAGCAAGCAGTAACCAGCCCTGAAGCTCCTTTCCCCTCATAGTCCCAGAGCACCCCAGGAATGGAGAAGAACCAGGAAAAGGCATATTGGCTATGGAGAGTAGGAAGGTAGGAAGGCAAATAGAATCATACCATGCCAGGGTTACGGAGACCTAGCCCAGAGAGGAGATGTGACTTCTCCAAGCTCGTAAAGCCAGTCAGAGGCTGGGCCAGCCTGGAAGTCAGGACTCTCTGCTCCCTTTCTCTCAATTCCCTAACAACAACAACTTAAGCCAGAAGGAGGCTCTTCACAGAGTGCTCTTCTCCTTGATAAATCTCGGGGTGGGAACCAGATGCCAAGACATAGAAGTAGGAGGAAAGTCTCAGCAATGGGACCCCCCATGACAGGACACATTGCTAGAAGAAGCCAGCTTAGCAGAACCAAAATCTCCCTCTCTGCTGAGAAGGATATGGGGATCATAAACAGCTTTCCATGGAACAAAGCCTGTCAGTAGCTGCAGCAGCTGGCCAAATCATAGATGAGTCACAGCAGTAGCCCCAACTAGGAGACAGGCTCTCCCGCCCTGGCCCCAGCTTCCTCCTCAGGCTGCAACTCCCCACCTGCTGGACACTGGCAACCCTGGGGGGACCTTTCTCAGAGTGTGTCAAGGTCAGAGGGATTTAAGACAAGACTTGGAAGGTTTGGTTGGTGGGACTCACCTTTGAGTGCATGTGTTGGAATAAAGGTAAGCCCCACTTCAAAGAGATCGAATTTACAAAACTGAGCGTACAGAAGAGGCTAATTAAGAGCTCTAGGCACATCAGGAAAGTGTACTCCACTTTATAACAAGATTCACCACAGGGTTGGGTAGGGTATGGCTGTCCTCGGTCTATGTTGGAACACCTAACAGCACAGGTCCATACTCCAGCCCATGACCACTGGCATTAGAACAGCTTTCTCCATTCACAGTGGCCACTTGTGAATCACCCAGTTGGCATAGTGGAAAATGGCACAGTGAGGGTCTAAAATCTATGGAGACGTGGGCTTGGGGACAGACATGGGAGACAGGGCCTATGCCACTGGTGTGAAGGTGAATTCATGGAAGAGGTGCCTTTGGATTACCTATGCATTTCATGGTCTTGCTTTCTCAGGTCTCCTCTACTGCTTTTCATTGTGGCAATAAAATTATTTAAAAGGCACCATTTTTAGAGAATGTGATCAAGAGCAACCCATCTTCTTGCTGCCCTCTAGCTTTGCTTCTGGAAAGGTTATGGTTTGGCCTCAAGCAAACCTAAGCTCAAATGCCATTCACTAGTTTACTCTGAATCTCCTCAACTTCGTAGGCTTCAATTTTCTCATCTGTAAAATGGGAATAATAATGCTTACAATGCTATTATAAGAACCAAATATAATTATGAAGCCCCAGAGTACCTAGAATTCAGTGGGCACTCAAATGCTAGGGATCACCATCATTTTTCGGCCACTGGGTATGTGTGTGGGGCAGGAGTGTGCGAGACAGGAGCTCTCAATGCTGACAGGAGCTCATCTTGACACATGAAGAGTTTGGGAAGAAAACTTTTAGCGCCTGGGCCATTTCAAATGGGGCATTGTGTTTGGAAAGCAGTAAAAAGTGAAAAGGATAATAAGAGAAGCAAAACTGCTATTTCATAGCATAATCTAAGGGAAAGCTCTGAGGAAATTGTTAACAAGTGACCATGCTGGGCCGTGTGCCCTGCTGTACAGGGGAGCTGGTGAACTTACAACACTGCAAGCTATCCTTTGTTTTATACTCATCATGGGGCCAGCCCCGTGGCTTAGCGGTTAAGTGTGTGCGCTCCGCTGCTGGCGGCCTGGGTTCGGATCCCGGGCGTGCACCGACACACCGCTTCTCCGGCCATGCTGAGGCCGGATCCCACATATAGCAACTAGAAGGATGTGCAGCTATGACATACAACTATCTACTGGGGCTTTGGGGGAAACAAATAAAAAAATTTAAAAAATAAAAAAAAAATAAAAAAATATATATACTCATCATGGAAAGGCATGAATCATGGAAGGTACTAAACGACTCGTAATCATAAAAAAATACAGGAAAAGGAACTTTAAACTCATTTAGTCCAACCTTTCATTTTACAGATGGAGAAACTGAGGACAAAGTGATAGCATGACCTCTTAGTTAGTGGCCTGCCCTTCTTGTCATTTGATGTGAGGTGGCTGTGAGGCTCTGATGGAGAAGTCCAGGGACGTTTCTCCATGAAGACACTGGCCTGGCTTGTGCTCGCTGCTCTGAAGTTGACCTGCTTCTGAAGCTTTGCCTTTCTGGAAGCTGCTTCATTGCACTTTGAGTGTGTTAACAGGGTGAGGATTTTCAGTGGACCCTCTCCCTCTCATAGTATTAGTTCCACTCAGTGACTTGTTAAATGGAAAATACCTGAACTGTGTCACGTCCTCCCTGCACATGCTTATGCTGTTCTTATAGTCCAGTGTCTTTTCCCATCTCGTGGAATGCAAAACTTTATGCAAAAAAATGCAAAAAAAAAAAGACAGATTCTTTTTTTCCCTTAAATTAATTAACGGTCTAATTTGAGAGTGTTTCCTGACCTTGGAAATCATTGTGTCTTTTTTGTACGTTCGTAAGACACATGACACAAATTTATTTGCAATCCAATAAAATATCCTATCCTGCTTTTAGAATATAATTGACAATAAAAACACTTCTTGAGTGCTCACCTTCTAGTTGGGATAATATACTTGAAAGGTTAACTAGCAATTCAAGGCCATATGAAATTAAATGCTCTAAGAACTCAGCGGCAAAGATGGCTGCCATTAATATGGTCCTAGAAGGCCTCAGTGGAGCAGCTAAGGTTGGAGCTGAGCCTAGAAGGATGAGTAACTTTATTGCTACGAGCCCCCGAAGGGCAGGGACCAAGATTTATCCTCTTTGGAAATATCTAAAGGGACCATGTCTCTAGTGCCCAGTGGTACTCTGGAATTAATGTTTGTTGAACTGAATTAATTGATAGCTAGAGACAACAGCTGAGGGTTTCTAGGCTGGGGTCACAACATGAACAAACCCCCGATGTAGAGCTAAGCCTTCTGTGATAAGAAACCCCAAGAACAGTCTGGCTGCAGGAAGGCTTCCTGTTGGGAAGTAGCGAGAATCATGGCCCAGGATGGACAGGCCCACTGAGGCCAAGATGAAAGGGGTCCATGTTATCCAAAGGCAATGGAATGACAGAAATTTTTTTAGTTTGGGACTAAACAGTATGAAAATTAACCAGAAATACGGGACAAGAAGGTAAAAGTAGGAGTCACTTTAGCTCTGTGTCCACCCAAGTGGACATCCTAGGTTCAGATCCCGGCTCTGTCATTTCCCTCTTGGGCAATCCTGAGCTTAACGTCCCTAAGCCTTATATACATAAGTTTCTTATACATGACTTAGAAGTAACAAAAGGACCTACTGCTTAGGATCATGGTGAGAACTAAATGAGATAATCCACAAAAAATGCTTAGTTAATAAAATGCCTGGCACATGGTAAGCTCTCAATTAATTCACAGCTTAAAGAGAAAGCCACTGGAAGCAGGGAAGTACTTGCCATTTTCCAACTCCCTAAAATGTTTCACTAATTCACCATTCAGGCAAGCTGCACAGTCTATATTACATAGTTTGTAAATTAAATTATATCTTATCCCTTCTAATTGCCCCACTATAAGTCTCCCACATTCCCGATAAGCAATTTGTTGAGCTGAAATAGTGAATTCAATTCTTGCACCGTCTCACCCTTCTTCTCACCCTCCAACCAGCCACTGCCAGGACTGGATGGAAAAGAACTAAAAAACTTTTTAAGGAAGGCCCCAAATTCAAAGATCCCTTCTTTGCTGGCTCCAGGGATACGCCTTCACCCAGTGGCAGTATGTTCTAGATCACCAGCTCCCCACTTGGGTTGGCAGGAGCACACAGTTTACTGCAGGAGAGTCACAATTCAATATGGGCTCAAACGTTGTCTATCAACTGAACATTACATAGGCCATCTTGCATATATGCCTACAATGATTTCAAATTCTTTTCTGATTAATAAATTACAGATTTATTGTCAAATGTTACTGATTTACAACATTTGTCATTATATATTTTCTCAATCCACAGATGCCAAATATACTACTACCCACATTCGAGGGTCCTTAACATCTTTTGACATTTTAAAGCAGACCGCCTGAGTGTGGGCATCAGGAAGAAACACAGGAGCAGCCAGACAAAATTACAGGTCACCTGTCTTAGGTAATACGCAGCTGTGTGCCTAGGTCCACAATAACAAATGCCCTAAAAATAATCCAGTGATGGAAGCTATTAAAATAAGCTGACACGCATCAGAAATGGCCTTTTCTCTTGACTCCAAGATCCTGGGGGAGATTGTCATTGGCAAGAAACATCTGAAATAGGAAAAGTTTGCTTTCTCTCCCCTGCCCCCTAAAAGAGATGTCAGTACACACAGAGATAGAATCTCTCTACATACAAATCCCGGAATTTTTATCCAGAGAGGAGTCAGCCAAGAAAAATATCAGAATGCAAACATGAGAGAATTTCACAGTCCCTCCGAGTAGCTCTTACCTGTCCTGCCATTGAGGAGAATCGGCTTGCCCTCCAGGTCTCCTCTCATGGGGACAACTCTGATCTTGTACTCCGTCCCGGGCTGCAGACCTGTGAACAAGCAGCCAGGGCTGAATGCGAGCACAGGCTCTGGACTGAGGGGTGGGGGGGTGGGGAGGGGGCAGAGGAGATGAGAGGAAGTTGGTGCAGCTCCCATTCCCTTCCTGGGCCACCCAGCACTTATTTCCCAATATTATTTATAGTCCAAATGTTTTTCTACTCCCAACAATCCTTTTCCCTCAAAAGTTTCTTTCCTTCTCATTGTAATAATTAGCCTAAATTTCTTCCTTTTTTTTTCTTTTTGCTGCTGTTTTGCTTTGTTTCGTTATTTCTCTGTAGAAGCAACTGGAATGATTTTCCACATGGCACAAACATGCAGACTCTGGCAGCAAAATGCAGGCAAAGAGCGGCATGTGTGAGGCACACTAGTTTCCACTCCACAAACACTGGGCACCCTAAGACGTCCCCTCAAGATGGAACTCGGAGTGGACGGCAGAACAGGGCCCCAGAGGAGGACGTGCCCTGGAGCTAATAGGCCTCAGGGCCCCTTCACCTGCACCAGCCACTTCCAAGGCCATATGCCGAATTGGGTATTCATCATTGTGGACTATTTTTCCAAAAGAGGGCCCTGAAAATTGTATAAGCTTCAGGAGTTACAACAGTTGATCCAGCCCTGCGTGGCCCTGTTTCCCTAGCAGTCATCTGATTTCCAGCTCTCACAGCGTTAGCCCTGGCACCTGGGACAAGGACCTCCCCCACTCCAGGCCTCCTAGCACAACTGCTTCCACACATCGTGCAGAACAACCCAGTCTCTCTCTCTCTCACACACATACGCACACACGCACATGTGCACAAACACACACACAGGTCTTCCAAAAGGAATGTCTGTGTGCCATCATATCCACCCTGAGACACAGACAGAGTTTTCAAGAGGACATTGGGTCTACAAGCTGTTAACCAGGTGCTCTGAGATTCCAGAGTCACCTCTGGCATGCCGCAGCAGAGTCCACAGGCCTCCAGAGGGGACTCACGTCTGGGAGTTTCCAGGGCGAGGGTTCAAGGGGTTCCTAAGGCCCCAGGACCCTCTGTGCACACTCGAGTGGTGCAGATGCCGGTCCCCTCTGCACATCCTGTCCTCGCCTCAGCATCTGCAGCAAATGTCCCACACGCCCAGCAGGGGTCTTACCAGTGATGTCATATCGGCTCTTGGGATCACTGCTCTTGGGCACAGTGACCTCGGCCACCTCCTGCCCTGTCAGGGGGCCGTACCGCAGCTTGTAGTAGTCCACCTCGGTCGGGGGGTTCTCCCACTCCACGTCGAGGGAGTTCTCAGTCTCATCCGTCACCCAAGCAGTGCTCAGCACAGCAAGATCTAGGGCAGGGTCAGGGAGGGCCAGAGAAAGCAGTGAAGGGCACAAGTCCCCCAGGTCTGCAACAGGCCATTGGCTACCAGGTCAGCACCCTTTCTTGACTCACTGAGAGCAGGCTTCAGCCCCGGGACACAGTCCTTAAGAGGGCTCTCAGAACTGCCAAAGTAGCAAAGAACTGTTGGTTTTCACATTGGCCGTGGAAGGCAGACTCTCTTCCGGGAAAGCCTCTTCTCCCCATCCCATCCCATCGGATGTCATGCAGCCCTGAACGGCACCTCTCAGGCCAACCATCCAAACCACTCGGCCCAGGGGTCAGGCTACTCTGCACTAAACACTCACCCTTTAGCAGCAGAGCCCCTGCCCTCAGAGACTCCACCCCAGGACAAGAAGCTCAGGCCCCTCCACGGAAAGTTTGGGAAACGCATTTCAAATTTTCTGGATTATAACACTGATGATACAACCACCTCCTCCCTCAGTCTCCCAAATTACAGCCCTCGCCTCTCAAATGCTCCTGAGTGGATTACCTCTAGGCAAAACTATTAAGTAGGAGAATTTTAACTAGGTCCTTCTCAATATCCTTCCAACACCTTCTACCAAATTTTAGCCCTTCCACCAGTGACCTGGTATCCTCATGCTGCCCAATCTGTCTGTCCTGTGAAGAAGGAGAGTTACTATACACATTTAGCCATAGTAAAGTATTAACGGCTAAATCTTACCCCTACACTCAGGGAAAAAAAATGAAATTATAATGATTAATACAAAGGAATGGATCACTGATGTGGCTCTACGGGAAGAACTTTCGGGGGGTGCCTGGAGAGGGGACTAGGGTCTTTGGAAGCACTTTAAATTCCAATGGCCATAAGCCAGGCCAATGTTGCCTGGCCTGAAGTTGGGAACAGGGAAGACAAGTCCCCAGACTCTCAGCCTTGCCCCCTTCGTCGGTCACACCCCCACCTTCACCACCTTGGTGGTGCTCCCACCCAGGCTGACTGCCCGCTTGTGAAAGACGTAGGACAGAGAACTTGTGCACCAGGCAGGGGCGAACTCGGTGATTTCATGGTCCCTTGGCTCTGAATGTTCCTGATTCATTCTGTTATGGGTAAAGAATCTCACAGAGCCTTTTCTCTGAAGCATTTCCTCCCACCTGCCGGCTTCCACCTGCCAGCCTCCAGGTTCTTCCTTTAAAGCTAGGAATTCCTTGAGGGAATAGGTCAAGAGGTGAGTAATAAAAGTGATTCAAGGATTATGGAAGGGGTCCTACATAGCTCACAAATGAAAAAGCAGGAATTTAATGAAAATGTTCAAGATTATCATGGGGATAAGTGTTTCTCAGGCTGAGGCTCCCCTGAGGAGCAAATAAGAATGGGTTTAACTGGAATCAGATTAGACAGAAAGACACACTTCACAGTTGCAGGATTTTACAAGCCCTAGAGCAAGAAGCCAAGAGGGGCAACTAAGACTTTCAGAACAGATGTCTCTGCTCTTCACTGGAAGGCTTGGGCACCATCCTGTCTGAAGGCAGAGGCAGCCACAGACAGAAAGGGAGAAAGAGAAATGCAGCCCGAGAGCTGGGAGCTGGCCTGGCTCTCACAGGTGGGCCTTGGTGTTCTCCCGTGGAACAAACAATTTCACAGAACATGACCATCAGACCAGCCACTCTGTGGCTATGCTAGATCAAGATAAAACAAGAACACTCTGTGATCATATCTGAACACAGGCGAAAACATGAACACTGTCCAAACCACAGAAATGACTAAATATCCCCTCTCCGGACTAATATGAGTGATGGCTCCTTCTTCACCAATCAAGTGAAGCTTTAGCCTCCCTCTGGTCTGCCCTCTTTCTAGATAAGATTCACTGAGATACCAATCACAGAGTTACCCTCACTTCCTGACAGCGTGCAATCCAAAGCAAATCCCTGCTTCCTTAAATCTTCCCCCAAATCACCTAACACAAGCCCAAATTCTACACCAGGCCTTTCTCACACTCTCGTACTCGGACGCCCACCGTCCCCCATGGTGTGCGTTCTCTCACACTGCAACAGTCAATAAACCCAACTTGTTCAACTACAGGGGTGTTCCAAGGGGTTTTTGGCTAGAAGGTGTTGACAAAAACAATCACAAATTGTGCTCCCAGGATAACAAGTCCCTAATGGCCCTTTCCAACACTGAGCCATCCCTACCCACCCTATCCCCAAAAGGACAGGCAGCCTGATGTTTCTGCAAAGACACTGTGTGCCAAAGATCTGTCCACCTGCATTTCCCTGGATCTTTCCCCAGGAGTTAGGGCAGGATAGAGGCAATTCATTTCTATCAGCATCTAGAACAGTGCCTGGCACATAGTAAACGCTCAGTAAAATAGGTTGAGTGAAGGAATGAATCAGAATCAATCAAAGAACTAGGTGTCTCCAAACTCTTGAATATCTAAGCTGCCTCAAGGACTTTCATGAGGAAACAAGAATTTCTAAAGAATAAGCAGTGATGCTTATCCTTCCAAACATTTTGGTAGCATTCAGTGGTGCCCTGGAGACTCTGCCCTCCAGATCCATCCTCCATCCTCCTCTGTATCCCAGATTATGACCGCTATGAATTACGTTAGCCAGGTTGCCTTGCCCTCTGGCTTCTGGTTGGGTTCAGTCAGGGAGAGTCATCAAAAGATCAGAGGGCAGGAGAGAAAGCTCAGGCAACTGATCTTCACTCCCTCCTGGTGGGGACACGGTGGACTGCCTGCATCCCTCTATGCAAAGCACCTCATCAGGCAGCCCTCTCCTACAGCTCTCTCCAGGTCCCAGTACCAACACCCATCCCCTGTCCCTTCAGGTTGGGTGGATCCCCATTGATGCTAGTCCTAGAGTGTTTCACCATCCAAACCTTACCCACACCTTTGTAAATAACCTCTTTGTTACACTTTCTTCAATTACTCTGTTTGTTCCCTCTCTTTCCTGCTAGATGAATCTAACTGATACGGGTGGCTTCAGCAGACCCCCCACCCAATCCCAACTTGCTGAATGGCCTCAGAGGCTTGGTGAGGGCCCAGGGATGCAGGTGTGTGGGGGTGCAGGGCAATCAGACCTTACTAACGTCAGGGACAGAGAAGACCCGCTGAGCCCCAATCCAGCAGGCTGCTATCACTGGCTTGAAGGGCCCAATAATCAGAAGGTGGAGAGAAGGGAGAAAGAACTGAGAGTTTTCTCCAGAACCTAGGATTGCAGCAGCTGTGTTTCTCAAACCCCAAATCAGGGCAATGGCCTGAGTAGTAGAAGGGTATTTGTGGGGACAATGGAAGAAAACGATTGAAATGGGGCCTTTCCTGGGAAACCGGGGGCATCTGGCTGCGTCCTCACCTGTGGTGGCCAGGAGATGCTGGGGGCTGCTGGAAACCTCCTTCTTCACGTTGCGCAGGGTGACTATGTACTTGGTTCCAGGCTGCAAACCAGTGATCTCGTAGGTGTGCTGCTCCTTGGGCACTGGGATCTGCTTCCCAGAGAGCTCCTTCCCCAGCTGGTAGTAGCTGAGCAGGTAGTGGTCCACCTCGCTGGAGGGCTCCCAGCTCACTAGCAGGGAATGCTCCGTGCTCTTGAGCAGCTGCAGGCCCTGGGGGGCGACCACTGCACGCAGAACAGGAACAGGCACAGAGAGGGTGAGGAAAGAGGGGTGGGCACCATTCTTGATCCCCCTGGTTATCTGGTTGGGAGTTAATACTGATTGGGAGTTCATACTGACCCCCTTACCCCCAAACACACACACGCACACACACAGAGCCATTAGATCACATAAGACCACTGGTCCTCAAACCAGCAGCATCAGCATCCCCTGGGAACTTGTTAGAAACGCAAATCCTTGGACCCCACCCCAGACCTGCTGAGTCAGAAACTCCGGGTGGAGCCCAGCAATCTGTGTTTTAACAAAACCCCCAGGGGATTCTGATGTAGGCTCAAGGTCGAGTCTCCTGCACAGGCTAAGGTGTAATTGATGGTTAACTGGTGCCGCGGGGACCGCGGGTGCAGGGAAAGAAGAGAGCCGGGCGCGCCCAGGCGCATCTCCGCTCTCACCCTGGGCGCAGTCGAGGCCGGTGAAGCCCTCCTCGCAGTAACACTCGCCCGCGTCGCAGAAGCCGTGGCCGCTGCAGTCGCCGGGGCAGCGCCGCTCGCTGCAGTCCTCCGACATGAAGTCCTCGTGGCACTGGCACACGCCGCGCACGCACACGCCGTGCCCGCTGCAGTTCTCGGGGCAGGCGGGGTAGGCGCAGTCGGCCCCCACGTAGGGCTCGTCGCACAGGCAGCGGCCGTCCACGCAGCGCCCATGGCCGCTGCACGCCCCGGGGCAGGCGGGCCGCTCGCACTCGGCGCCCTCCCAGCCCTGCTCGCAGCGGCAGCTGCAGGTCTCCGGGGAGAAGGTCCCGCGGCCGCTGCAGTGGCGGCTCAGACCTGCCAGAGAGAGGAAAGACGGTAGGCCGGGGGTGGAGCGAGGGCCTGTGAGGGCGCGTCTCCTTCTCTGGAGACCCGTGAGAGCAGGCTGTGATTTCTGGGCCCTGCACAGCTTTCTTTGGAGGAGGGTAGGGTCCACGAGGAAGATAAGGGTCCGCTCTTTGCAACCTGGGCCGTACTCTGGCCTGCGAAATCTACAAACCTTTCCTCCTTTTCTGCCTGAAAAGCCAGGCGAACGACCCTTTCGTTTGTCTTCTCATCCCAAGCGCTCATGTGACTTCTCCTGGTTCCCTCCCTTTTAAATGGTGGTAATTGTCTAGTATTTTTCTGTGAAGCCTCCTTAAACGCTCCAGCCTGGACCAGCTTACACTAAGGGGCAGGGGTCCTGGGGCAGGCAGGTGAGATCCAGGCTGGGCAGGAGCTTGTCTTATCTTGGCTGGAGGGGGCTGGACCTAGCAAGCCTGGGTCCTTGGGAAATGAGCCCAAATTGAAGCCTGGAGAAGTGGACCTGCAGAAGCTACGAAATAGCCCAGTCGCATTATGGGGGCGAGGGGTGGGAAAAGGGATTCACCAGGCTCCCCTCTCTAACCCTAGACAGCAAGAAGCAGTTTAAGGGCGGGTCAGTCAGCCTTGTCCCTTCACCAGCCTCAGCCCCTGCTTCTCAGAACACCCTCTTTCCTTCCTAAAAACGTTTGATCTGGAGGCTCCTCAGGGGCATTTGCATGCCGTATTATTCATGGCAATGTCCCTGGTGCCTAGTTCTGTGTCTGGCATATAGGAGGTGCTCTTAACAGTAGCAGTTCCTTTGGGCATAAAAATGTGTGCCAGGGTTGGCCCTGTGGCTTAGTTAATTGTGCACGCTCTGCTACTGGTGGCCGGGGTTCGGATCCCGGGCGCGCACCAATGCACCGCTTCTCCGGCCATGCTGAGGCCGCGTCCCACATACAGCAACTAGAAGGATGTGCAACTATGACATACAACTATCTACTGGGGCTTTGGGAAGAAAAAGGGGAAAAAAAGGAGGGTTGGCAATAGATGTTAGCTCAGGGCCAGTCTTTCTCAGCAAAAAGAGGAGGATTGGCATGGATGTTAGCTCAGGGCTGATCTTCCTCACAGAAAAAAAAAAAAATGTATGTGAAAGTACTGCTCAGTAGCCTGGGCAGTTTATGTTTTAAAAAAAGTGGGGATGGGGGGGCTCAGTATTTGTAAAATCAAATTGTAGTTCTTTATTACTAATAAAAGAGTTAACGATTTGCTGAATATCTGCTGTGGGCCAGGAATCTTATGTACATCATCTACAGTTCTCAGAACTAGACTAGTTCTTAGAATTATCCTCATTGGACAGTTGAGGAAACTTAAGGAATTTGCCCAGAGTCACACAGCTAAAAAGTGGCAAAACTGGGATTTGTGCCCAATCCTGTCTAGCTCCAAGGCCATGGATCTTTCCTCTCTATCCCACTGCTTTCCCTTACAGTAGAGATTGGATCCACAGGTAAAATAGCGCCCAGAAGCGTTCTGATCTGGAAGCATTAACCCAAGAGTCCACATTCTCTATAAAGTTGCTAGTCCCTGCTGCTCAGGCTTGCAGATGCCCCCTGAAGCTAGTGCCAGTGATGAGGTCCCCCAGAGAAAACCCAGAGTGAGAGGTGGGAGTGCACCAGACTCGCAGAGTGCTCATGAGGCTGATGGAACACCTGGCACAGAGAAGGTGCTCATTAAATGTTTGTTGAATGAATACCAGATGGCAAGCTCACCGGCAGCTCCTTGGCAGCAGCGCTGGGCGCTACACCGTTCCTTCACCTCCGCCATCTCTTCTTCCAGCTTCTTCACCCGGGCCAGGAGGTCCTGGACGCTGCCTGCCAGCTCACAGTCCTTCTGTGGCGTCTGCAGGCGGATGTTGTGCCTGAAGATGATGTTCTGTTCCTCGGCCTCCCCTGGGACCAGGAGTGAGGTCCCATCATCACTGAGAGGCTGGGGGTTGGCCTCCACCTGGACCAGGGCAGACTTGGGCACGTCAATCTTGTAGGTGTGGCTGACGGTGACCTGTTGCTCCCTGTCACTGCAGCCATGAGGCTCGAGAGTGGCCGGGGCCGAGGCCACCAGGAGCAAAGACCCAAATAGGAGGCCCAGGGGGAAGCAGAACATCCCCTGGAGACCCATCCTTGGAGAGACAGGAAGCAAACCCTCGAGGAGGCCTGTATCCAGAAAAAACACAAAAGAAAGTCATGGAGGTTTGCTGTTGGAAATTGACCTTTTTAATGGATTCTTAGAGTCCACAGGAGGCTGAGAAACCAGCAGAAAGATTTCATCCAATATCTGCTGAGGATCCAAACTAAATTATTTTTGGTTCCTTCCTCACACTTTGCACATCCCTACCTCCTGTCTTTGCTTCCACTGTTTACACACCTGGGAGGCCCTTCTCTTCACGTCTAACTCTGTGCTCACCTGCACTTTAATGATAACAAGGAGAACAACCGTCTTGCCTTGAGGGCCCACTGTGTGCCAGGCTTAGATCCCTAATCTATACAATGACCCTAATATTATCCTCCACCAGCAGTAACAGCTGCGTGTAGAGCACAGGCCGTGTGCCAGACGCTTTTCTAATTGTTCTGCACTTGTTATTTCACTCACTCTTCACAACAACCCTTCGTGGAATATACTATTGTTACCCCCATTTTACTGGGAATGGGGAAACCGAGGCATAGCTACCTTAAATGACTTGCCCACAGGCACGTAGCCAAGAGTGACAGAATTTGAATCCAGGCAGTCTGGCTCCAGAACCCATGCCCATCATGGGCACTATGTCCTGCTGCCCTGCACAGATGAGGAAGCAGTGGCTTGAGGGAGTGAACCAGTTGGCCTGGGTACCACAGCCAGGAAGGGCAGAGCCTGGCCTCGGACCTCAGACCAGTGTCCTGCTCACCACCTCTGCCTACAAGCCAGCAAAAGAACAGAATTTCTAATAAAAATACCTTCTCCATGAGGTCTTCTCTCACGCCCTCCACCTCACCCCAGCTGCAAACTCGCTCTCCTTCTGCCAAGTATTCAGGGAATTGTATTGTCCCTCCGTGGGTCTCTTGACGGTTTGTCTTGTGTTAGAGTTACTCTGGTACGCAGCTTGTCTTCCCAGGAGACTGTGAGCCTCTTAGGGACTGGACCCAAGGCTGAGTCCTCTTGGGGCCCTTCCAAGGCAGGAGCACAGAGTCCCACATGCCGAAGGGCTCAGTCACCCTCAAATCCATCGGTGCTCAGGTGGCCTGGTTTGTCAGTCAGGCCAGGCCCAGGGCCAGAGCAGGCTGTTAGGTGTTGCCTCCTCTGCTGCCAGCAGGAAGTGCGGGCCTTCAGCACTGTCAGCGTGCAGCAGACCCCCCGCCCGAGCCCATTTCCTCCAGTGCCCCCAGCCCCGATCTGGGACGGCACATTCTTGATCACTAACAAGCCGAGTCCGGGCGGACCACAAGAGCCCTGGTTCACAACTCACATTTACTCACGGGCACTCAGTCACCAGAACACCTCTCACCTGGGCTGTCATAGCCTCTCTCTCCTGGAAACCGAGCTGCAGGGCTGCCTCCTGACAGTGGGCTTCTGTGACCAACTCAAGACTCACAAGCATTTGTACGAGACTGAAGAAGTCAGGAAGCCTAGTCCTTTCCTAGTGGCTGTGTCCTGCTCAAGCCCAGGCTCTCCCTTCCTGCTGTGAGAGGCAGCTACGACGTGCTGGAAAGGCAAATCGACAGGTCCCGGGTATCCAGCCTTGCAAAGGCTACTGATCCTGAGCTTCAGGCTCCTCGTCCGTAAAGTGGGATGGTAATGCCCGCTTCACTACACTGTATGTGGAAAGCACTTAGCGCCACACCACACCCATCGTAAGTGCTCAATAAATGTTTAGAAGTTTTGTTTTTAATCAACTACTGAATATGACTTCCTTTTCTTTCTCATCTTTTTTATTTTGAAGGGTGATATCTATATTGAAAAGAGCATACAACATAAATTGTATAGTTTTAATGAATTGTTACAAAAGCCACAGCCATGGTGCCACCACCCAGGTTACGAACTAGAATATTGCTAGCATTTTGAAGCCCCCGCATGCCCTCACCTGAGGCTGCCTCTTTTCCAGCTCAGTGGTTAGAGTCAGCAGAACACCATCTAAAGAATTGACCTAAAGCTGGTAGAGTGAGTTGGGCAGATAACTTTGTTGGTCAGAAAGGGAAGAAACCTTCCTAGTCATTAAACCAAATTCTAATACTGGCTAAAGTCTTTAATTTTTAATAGTCATCATTAGTATCAGGAAGTGGAGGAAATAGAGGATGAAGGGCCCTGGCAGAATTATTATTAAAAATAACAATAATATTGGGGCTGGCCCGGTGGTGTAGCAGTTAAGTTCGTGTGCTCTGCCTAGGCAGCCTGGAGTTCACTGGTTCAGATCCCAGGCACACACTGATGCACCACTTGTCAAGCCATGCTGTGGTGGCATCCCATATAAAGTAGAGGAAGATGGGCCGGCCCCGTGGCTTAGCGGTTAAGTGCACGCGCTCCGCTACTGGCGGCCCGGGTTCGGATCCCGGGCGCGCACCGACACACCGCTTCTCCTGCCATGCTGAGGCCGTGTCCCGTGTGCAGCAACTAGAAGGATGTGCAACTACGACATACAACTATCTACTGGGGCTTTGGGGGAAAAAAAGGAGGAGGATTGGCAATAGATGTTAGCTCGGAGCCGGTCTTCCTCAGCAAAAAGAGGAGGATTAGCACGGATGTTAGCTCAGGGCTGATCTTCCTCACAAAAAAAATAAGTAAATAAATAAAAATAAAGTAGAGGAAGATGGGCACCGATGTTAGCCCAAGGCCAATCTTCCTCAGCAAAAAGAGGAGCATTGGCATGGATGCTAGCTCAGGGCTAATCTTCCTCACACACAAAAAAAATAAAATAACAATAATACTACAATAATATTAAAAATATTATTTGTCAATTCGCTGCACCACGCCAGACATTGGCCAGGTGCATTAATCTTCATGATTAATCCTCATGGCTGCTCTGTGAGATTGGTGCTGCTCTCCTTGTCCCAGGTGAGGAACCAGATGTATAAGATAAAGTCACCAACCGGGAGTTGCCCAGCTAGTAAGTGGCACAGTCAAGATTCGAACCCAGCTCCATCTGATTGCAAGCCTGTGCTTGCTCTGCATCACTATGACATTCTGATACAAATAACACATGAGTCCAGTATATGCCTGTCCGTCTGCAGTCACCTCCTTTGGACAGATGTGCTGTATGTTGTACCCAAGGGACGTGCTGATATTGAGGAGAGCTGGTAGAGTGAGTTGGAAGGCAGGTGTAGGATAAAAATAATGATATTTCACAATAGCTATCTTCAAAAGTTCAGCCCATTGATGAAACAATGACACATATTCTCCGCTTACTCCCCAAGATGGGAGCTGAGGCTCAGAGGCATCAAGCAACATACCCCTGATTATGCAACGAGAGTGCGAGGCCACAGAGTCACCAGGTGCACGGTGTCCACCAACCGAGCGGGTAACCCCTGTGCGCTTCGGCCATCCCCAGTGACCACACAGACTAATCTCAAAAGCACTTTCTTTGTAAAGGGCAGCACACAAGTTTCCACTGTCCAAAATCCCCTTCCTGGGCAACAATGGAGCTAAAAAGGCAGACTTCGGACTTCTCTGCCCACTCCTACCATCCATCCCCCACCCCTGCCCTGCGGTTCACTCTTCTCCGAGACATAAATGGACTGCAGATGGTTTTCTGAAGACGTTCTGAATGAAGGCAAAAAAGCCGCGGACTCTTGCCATAAACCGCAGCAAGGCTGCGCAGAGCCCAGTCTCGCAGCGTTTGTTTCTTGAAGCCTGGAATATGAGAACCCCCAGAAGCCCTTGTATGAGCCCTCAGTGTCGGTTGTCCTGAGTTGTAGCAAGCTGTCCCTGCTAATTACAGTCTGTCGGATTCCACATGTTGAGCTCAGATTTTCCTGGGCAGAGCGATTGCTCTAAAGAAGATGGTGGGATGGGGGGTGGGGAATCCTAAACGTAACACTTCTGTTGAGTGTAATGAGCAAGAGGAGAAGCCTTCTGGCTCTCTCTCCAACACGTGGCAGGAGAGACTTGCCTTGTGTCACAGCATAAGGAAGGGATGACTTCACCAACCCTTTCTGCATTAGCAGACCGCAAACAGAGCTCCCCGAGGGTGGGGAGGGGACAGACAGGGCAGCAAATTCCACCAAGAAAAATGCAGGATGGTAATTTTCCAAATGAGGATGATTATTCTATTGAGGACTAGTTTCTCACGGAAAGTGAGATAAATGCTGTAGTAATGTATGAGGCAAAGGGGGTTCACACGCAGGGAATGTGCGTGCAGGAAACAGAGGAAACCAGGTGTCCCCAAGAACCAGTCTCAGTGACGCTGATCATGTCTTCAATTCTGACTGCAGGATGGGTGGTGGGTGGTGTGGTGTGGTGTGGTGTGGTGGCGGGGGGGGACGACAGTAAGACTCAGAACAAATGCTGCCTGGTATTTCCTTTTCAAAAAAGGCTCTTGGAGGCGTGTACTGCCGACCATGAGCTGGGTGGCTGGTCCTGTTGGTTCTGCCTGAGAGACACGCTGACATTGCAGGCTCTACATTTGTGTTCTAGCCATTCTCTCTTCATAACCGCATCTCCCCCTGTGGCTTTCATTTCTAGCCAGATACCGACAGCTCCCACGTCTGTGTGTGAGTTCTTAGCCCAGACATCCCTGTCAGCTCAGGGATGGCAGTGGTCCTGACTGTGTTGATCCCCTCTGTATCCACAGCCTCATAGCACAGTCCTAGCCAAAGTAATATTTTGCGTATTCAATCATAATAGCCACTGGGTGTTTTTCATATGTGTTTATTAGATGATGGGTGCCAAACACTTTATAAACATTATTCTCATTTAATCCTTAAAATCCTGGGAATCAATTGATATCAATCTTTGTTATAAGTGTTCAGAGAGGTTAAATAACTTGCCTAAGGACACACACACAGCTCATAAGCAGCAGAGCTGGGATCAAACACCAGGTTTGTCCACTCCCCGTGTCTCTATTCCTCATCTCTTTGCTATATGTACTACCCCAAATGAGAAAATCCAATTAGAAGATTACTATACACGAAAAAAAGACCAAGCGTCCCCTTTCCTGTCGTACTTAAGAGAGGGGTT